CCTGACTAGGAATCAAACTGCTGACCTTTTGGTACACACTAGTGCTCAACCCGCTGAACAACACCAGCCAGGACCACCCTGTTCCTAGAGAACGTTTACCTGTCCTTCAAAACCCTCTTCAGGTGTTCTCTCCGAGAACCTTCAGTCATTTTCCAGGGATATTTTATTCATTAGCCTTCTGTGTTGCCTGAGAGGTGATGAATTCTTCCTTGCCTTCCTATGGCCAGTCCCTCAAACCTATGAAGGGCAGAATGCACAATGAATGGAAGAATGAACCAACCCACGACTGCACAGGGGAGGTGTGGTCCAGCTGACAATGGTGGTTCCTAGGTCAGAGGACTTGGACAGCAGCAGTTTCACTTTCTGAGCACTTCTTCTGGGCCTCTGACCTTACCCACTGTTCTCAAGCACCTTGAGGACATTCCTGGCATGACATTGCAGACAGCAGACATTTCCTGCTGAAGCCCTGCTTGGCTGCCTCCTCCTCCCCACCTTCTCTCCCACACATTCCCTGCTAGCCCTTCTTATCCTGCCTTATGAAAGAAAAGCACATTCTGGTTCAAGCTGAGACACCTGCAGATTCTGAAATGGGAGCATCCTCCCTAACACACATCTTTTTTAATGCAGTCTCCCCCTATTAATGTCCAAGTGTGTTTTGATTTGACAGACAGCGCTCCCAAGTTAGACATGCAACCAGTCTCTGTGTTGACAGTATCCACCAGCTGTTTCAGAGGGTTCATCAGACGATAAGCCCTTTTCTGGGGTGCTTCCAGGGGACCCACAGAACCCAGCTGCATCCATGATGCGTTATTTTTCCACTGTTCTCGGAGCTCTATTTGACATATGACATTTTGTTGAAGGGGTACAGCATATTGATTTATTTCTTACCATGATTTGCATTATTCACTTAGCACTGCTGTGTCATCTCACAATTTCTTCTAGTGTTGTAATAATTAAGGTGTAGCTTCTTAGCAAACTGAATGTTTTCAAAGTTTTGTCTATAATCCCTATACCATGCAGCAGGTCTCCAGGACTTACTTACCTAGTAGTCACAAGTTTGTGCCCTTAAATGCCTCTCCCATTTCCCCAACTTCCTGGTAACCACCATTAATCTTTTAGGCCTCTAAAAAAAAATTCCACATAAAGAGACATCATAAGGTATTTGCCTCTGTCTTATCTCACCTAGCACAAGGCCAGTATCACGTTGTTGCAAATGGCAGAATTTCCTTCTTTCTCGGGGCTGAATACCATCCCATTGTGTATACAAACCACGTCTTGATCCATGACAGACACTGAAGTCGTTTCCATTTCTTGGCTCCAGTGAACAATGCTGCAGTGAACATGAGGGTATAAGGTATCTCTTTGGTAATGTTTTCATTTCCTCCACATATGCACCCAAAAGTGGGAGCTAAATCTGCAGCACTGACATTGTTTGGGCCGCTTTCTTCAGGGGGGCATCCCACCCCACGGCAATTCAGCACAGCATGAGGGGGGACTTAAGCAGCTCAGGAAGAATCTGGGGGTCAGCTTAAACACAGGTTCAGACAACTAGAGTCTGTGATGCCGGAATTGCAAAAAGAGGTGCAACCTGCCAGACAGCTGTGTCCCTGGTTCAAAGACACAACACAGTCACCCAGATGGAAAGTGCAGCACAGGGAATATAGTCAATATTGCAGTAACTACGCATGGTGCCAGGTGGGCACGGGACTTACTAGCAGATCACGTCAAAAGCTATATACATATCTAATGACTGTGCTGCACACCTGAAACTAATATAATATTGCATGTCCATTATAACTACAAAAGAAATTTTAAGGAAAAACATGCTAGACACACACAAATGGCTAAGAGGCAGCCACCTGTTTTTCCACAAGTTCAGTAGCAACTAAAAACTGCTTTTAAAAACTCCAAAAGTAGCCCTGGCTGGTTTAGCTCAGTGGATTGAGCGCGGGCCTGCGAACCAGACAATTGAGGTTCGATTCCCAGTCAGGGCACATACCCGGGTTGCAGGCTGGTTCCCTGCAGGCCAGTTCCCAGCAGGGGATGCATGAAAGGCAACCATACATTGATGTTTCTCTCCCTCTCTCCTTCCCTTCCCCTCTAAAGATAAATAAAATCTTTAAAAAACAAAAACAAAAAAAACTCCAAAAGTGACGCTGCATGGTGTGGCTCAGTGCATTGAATATTGGCCCGCCAACCAAAAAACTGGCTGTTCAATACCCATTTAGGGCACATGTGTGGGTAGTCGGCCAGGTCTCAAACAGGGGGTACATGAGAGGCAGTAACATACTGATGTTTCCTCTCATGCTTTTCCTCCCTACCTCCGTGTCTAAAAATAAAATAAAACCTTGAAAATAAAAACTGCGTCTCCATGTGTAGATGGACTCTGTAGTCACGTTGCCTCTGTTTATTCCCAGGGAATCAGCAAAAATAATCAGTTATACAGACATCTCCTGTTTCTATAACTAAGAGTTTAAGTATTTTCTGCACAGGCAGCACAATCCCAGGGAGCTGTGGCCCTGACTCTCTCCATTGCAGCTTTCCCTGTTGGGGAACCCCTCCAGCATTTGTGAAGTTGTAAGCACATAAACATTTACATCAACTTATAATGCATCCAGTCGAAAAGCAGCAAAACACAAAGCCTCATTTTTAAGCCCCTTTCCCTTCACCTGACAGATGTGACTCAATTGGCTGGGTGTGGTCCTCAGATGGAAAGATGGCCAGTTATGCATTCATTCCCAAATTGGCCTACATGAGGGAGAAAACGAATCAATGTTCCTCTCCTTTTCTTTATTACTCCCTTCCCCTCTTTAAAAATGAAATAAAATCTTCATTTTTCTTAAAGTCTTATTTTTTAGAGAGGGAGGGAGAATAACAGGGAGACAAACATACATGTGGTTGTCTCTCACACGCCCCCTACTGCAAACCTCGCCCACAATCCACGCATGTATCCTAGACTGGGAATCAAAGTGGTGACCCTTTGCTGTGCCAGCCAGCGCTGAATCCACTAAGCCACACCAGCCAGGGCTTCTTAAGTTTTAAGTTTCTTTTCTCTTTTTAAAAAAAAATTATTTATTTATCTTCAGAGGTGAAGGGAAGGAGAGAGGGAGAGAAATATCAATGTATGTTTGCCTTCTGTACATCCTCCCTGGGAACTGGCCCGCAACCCAAGCATGTACCCGGACCAGGAATTGAACCATGATCCTTTGGTTCACAGGCCCACGCTCAATCCACTGAGGTATACCAGCCAGGGCCAGTTTTAAGTTTCTTACAAAAATAATTTTCCTACTATAATTTATTATTACTAATTGAAGTTTGGTTCATGAGGATTTTTATATAGTTACACCATTTTTTATAGCTTTTCCTCTTCCTCATGTGTGACATTTCCAGGCACCTATTATTTCGTAGGCTCTAGTTTGCTGTCATGGTCATTCAGCAGTCAAGTGTAGAGGCGACTTTCCTCGCAAGTGCCCCCAGCCACCACAGATGAGAGTAAATATGACTGAGACATGATGTCATCTGCTTGGGGAGGAGAGGTGGCCATTTTCCCAGAGGAAAAAGGCTGTGGGCAGTGGCCGGTTTCTCAGGGGAAAAAGGCCTTGAGCTCCCTCCTCCAGGGGGTTTTATTGACTTGTAATACACAGGAATACAGGGCAGCAAGGATCAAACAGTAGATAACATTTCAAAGAAATCTGAGGGCTTAGAGTGAGTCAGAATCTATCAGGAAGAGAAGAATTTTTAGGGTTTCCAGCTCAAACCATTAACATATGAACGAAAGCACTCTTAGAGCAGATTTCACAGGTTTATCAGCAAGTCTTTGTGATGCCAGGTTCCCCCCCCCCCACTCTCTAGCAAGGCAAGGAGCTGCACCCCTCCCCATCAGGTATTCAGGCTTAAGGGGATTAGAGCCAGGAAGCACTTCTCCTAGAGGACATAGGGTCTCAGGCTTTGTCAAAGTGGAGGTGGGTGGCGAGAGTCCACTGCTCCCTCTTTGATGCAGCTCCCCGAGTCCTTCCATGAAAACTTTCCAAGTGATCGAGTCTGGCTTAGGTTACTCCTCCTCTGTGAGGGGTCTTACCCATCATTGACTTCCGACCAAGCTTTGGGGGCAGGGAGAGGAAACTGAGGCAGCATTTGCTACCAGAGACAAGCCTTGTCTTCTGCGGCTAGAACTCCAGAGGTAGTCCCTCGCCCTTAGCCACAAGGGGTAGAGTTACAATTCCTAGAACCAGGCAGAGCGGTCTACAACAAATTCCTGCTTCGAGAAATGTGATATTCTTCTGGTTATAAATTTTGTCAGATCCATCAATCTACCTTTGTTAAAGTCCTGGTGGTCTTTACTTTAAAGCCTCTCCTGTGTAGACTTTAGAGAGTGTGAAGGTTCTGAGAAACTCATAATACTGCTCTCATAGGGTTTCTCTGTTGTACATTTTCTGAAGAAATGGCACAGTTTGAAGTCAGCCGGAACACTGACCACATTGGTATTATAAGATGGAGGTTTTTTCCAAAGGAATTCAGATGACTGTAGAAAACTAAGCTCATGCTGGGTTCTTAATACACATTTTATAGATACTCTCTTCTGTGTAGGTTCTCTGATGGAAGTTAGAAATCTAAGCTCTGAAGAACACTTTTATCACACACCCATCAGGAATGATGGGCTTACCAATATTACGTATTCTCTCATTAACCTGCAGCTATAAATTCTTAATAAAGGGAAATTCCCCCTTTAAGGGAAATGAAACATCTGTATACTTTCTACCCGGTATGGACTCTATGATCACCTGGAAGACTTGAAACCTGGGTGAAGATTTTATCAGATTTGCTACACTTATACTCTTTCTATATGTGGATCTCCTGATAAACTTGAATTCCTAAGGTCCAACTGAAGCTCTAACCACAATCAGCCCACTTATACGGTTAGACTTCTTTCCACCATGGACTTATTGATGAACATTAAGACGTGAACTCTGACTGAAGCTCTTCCCACACAACACATTTCTAGGGTTTCTCTCCAGTGTGCACTCGCTGATGAGCTTGAAGATTAGTGTTCTGACTGAAGCTCCTCCCACACACACCACATTTGTAGGGTTTCTCTCCAGTGTGGACTCGCTGATGAACTTGAAGTTTTGAACTCCGACTGAAGGTCTTACCACACACAGCACATTTGTGGGGTTTCTCTCCAGTGTGAACTCGCTGATGAGCATGAAGACTGGAGGTGTGACCGAAGCTCTTCCCACACACAGCACATTTGTGGGGTTTCTCTCCAGTGTGAACTCGCTGATGGGAATGAAGACTGAAGGTATGACTGAAGCTCTTCCCACACACAGAACATTTGTAGGGTTTCTCTCCAGTGTGAACTCGTTGATGAACTTTAAGACATGAACGCCTACTGAAGCTCTTCCCACACACTGCACATTTGTAGGGTTTCTCTCCTGTGTGGACTCGCTGATGAGTATGAAGACTGGAGGTGTGACTGAAGCTCTTCCCACACACAGCACATTTGTAGGGTTTTACTCCAGTGTGAACTCGCTGATGAACTTGAAGATGTGAACTCTGACTGAAACTTTTCCCACACACAACACATTTGTACGGTTTCTCTCCAGTGTGAACTCGCATATGAACTTGAAGAGTGGAGGTATAACTGAAGCTCTTCCCACACTCAGAACATTTGTTGATTTTCTCTCCACTGTGCATTCGCTGATGATATTGAAGTTTGGAGGAATGATTGAAGCTTTTCCCACACACGGCACATTTGTAGCATTTCTCTCCAATGTGCTTTCGGTGATGAACTTGAAGGTATGAACTCCGATTGAAGCTCTTCCCACACACTGCACATTTGTAGGGTTTCTCTCCAGTGTGCACTCGCTGATGAGCTTGAAGACTAGAGTTCTGACGGAAGCTCTTCCCACATACACCACATTTGCAGGGTTTCTCTGCAGTGTGGTTTCGCTGATGAACTTGAAGGTATGAATTACGTTTGAAGTTCTTCCCACACACAGTACATTTGTAGGGTTTCTCTCCAGTGTGGACTTGCTGATGAGCTTGAAGATTAGTGTTCTGACTGAAGCTCTTCCCGCACACAGCACATCTGTAGGGTTTCTCTCCAGTGTGGACTCGCTGGTGAACTTGAAGGTTTGATTTCCGACTGAAGCTCTTCCCACACTGAGCACATTTGTTGATCTTCTCTCCAGTGTGGATTCGCTGATAAGCCTGAGGACTGCACACACAATTGCAACTCTTGCCACAAATGGTACATTGGTAAAGTTCCTGTCCACTGTGAACTCGCTGATGATATTGAAGATATAAACTGTAACTGATGCTTTTCCCATAAAGGGCATATTTGTAGTGTTTCTCCCCAATGTGGCTTCGCCGATCAATTTGCTGATGTGAACTATGACTGACGTCCTCATCACATTCATCACTCCTTTTGTATTTCTCTTCTGTGTGAACACTTTGATGACTGCAGAGCTCCGATGTAGAACTCTCACTCTCCCCAAACTCACTATGTATGTGAGGTTTTGCTTCCAGGTGCAATTGCTGATGAAGCTCAAGTCTGGGGCTAAGGCTGATGCCTTTTCCATTTCTGGAAGAGGTGTGCTCTTCTGAGTGAACGACAGTATGCTGGAATGATTCCTGCATGAAGTCTTTCCCACAATTCTTATGGCCATAAGAAGTCTCACCTTCCCACAATTCCTGATTATCACTGTGGAGACCAGAGATCCATCTCCCAACACAGTGCTCACACTTGCACACTTTACAACTGCCGTCACCTTCCTGACACCTACTCTGATCATTCTGTGACTCTCTCAGATACATTTTCTTTGGGCAATTTTGGATGGTCTTCATGGGAAACTCTTCGTTTCTTATACTATTGAAACACTGAACTTCCCCTTGGAGCTTTATTATATATTTCTCATCTCCGGAGTCCTGAGTATATTCTCCTGTGCACAAGTGACAGAAGGAATCACCTTCTTTTTGCAAATCCAAAACCTTGCTTCGCAGGTTTATTATCAAATCTTGACTTCGGGTTAACTTACTCAGAAGTTGTTCCCATATTCTCCAGCACACAAGGTTTTCAAGTAAAAGGTAACTCAATGCAACTTCATGAAGACTTTCTATCTTATTTTGGTTCCAGTGTCCTGGAAAGATAGGAAAAATAAAAACGTAGAGAAACAAGTATAAAGGACACATGGACAAAAACTAAGGGGGGTGGAAATGGGAGGGAGGTGGGGTGCATGGGCCGGGTGGGCTGGGATTGGAGAAACAAACAGAACACTGTACTTGAAAAATAACTAAATAAAAATTAAAAAAAAAACACAAAAAACGTGACAAGTAGGATGAGCAAATGGCTTCTCAGACATAATAAATATTTCACAGGTCAATCAATCACTCAGGGAGACAGCTTGGCTTTCTCCACAGGCTTTCTCATGCCTAAAGAATCAAAGAAGTGATGAGTAGGCTCCTGTCCACTCAGTGTTAAGGTGACTCGTTTGGAGCTATACCAAGACTTATGTATGAGGTCAAAAGTAGAAATACATGACTACAGACAACGTGATGCTCTCAGGAAAATGTTTAATGTTCTAAGTACAAATTAGAAAACTCATACCCATGACGGACACATCTTATGTGAGTAAAACGTCCCGTGATAATTGCTGAAATTTAGTTTGACTGAATGTTCTGATGAAGATCAATGACTAACAACATCTTCCAGGTTTTGAACACTAGGTATGCATTTGCACATATGAGAAGATGCCGTGGTAACCACCATACACAATGGTCCCCAATGATCCTGCCTTCAGATGTCCATATGGTATCAAATACCTTCCTGCAATGTATGAAGATAAGTGTGTGAAGCCAACAGAATATGGCAAAAGAGCCCTTGCCAGGTGGCTCCACTGGTTGTAGCATCATCCCATACACCAAGAGGCTGTGGGTTCGATCTCCACTCAGGGCACATACTAGAGGCAACACAATCATATTTCCCTCTCTCTCCCTAAAATCAATAAACGCATCCTCCTGGGAAGATTTTGAAAAATCTCTAGAAGTGATAATACATCACTTCCAAGGTTATATCATATAAGATATTGTGGTTTCTGCCTTCCACTCTCTTGCATGGAAGAAACCAGCTGCCATGCCATACTTTGAGGACAGCCAGGAAGCCCACGGGACAGGCCCACTGACAAGGAACTGAGGCCTTCTGCCAACACCCGTGTAAATGAGTCCATCCTGGAAGCCAATACTTCAGTCCCATTAAGCCTTCAAAGACCTGATGCTCTCCTGGACTCCTTGACATCAACTTGATGAGATCCTGATCCACAATCACCCAGCTAAGCTGCCTCCAGATTCCTGACTCACAGAAGTATAAATATATGCTTCTTCTTGGAAGCTGCTAAGTTTAAGAGTAGTTTGTTATACAAGTAGAGATAGCTGCTGCAAGTACCATAAAAAGTATAATTAGGGCAGCCGTTCATCATGTGGGTAACGATGTTCTCAAATAATTGTTCAGTTACACTGGTTTTTTCCTCCTCTTATCGGCTGTGTCCAAAAGGATTGAACACAGTGAGACTCACAGAACATCACTCTCTAGATCAGTTGTTTATAGGAGTCCTGGATGGAGAAGAAACTCTGTAGTGTGAGCATCTGTGCACTATTAACAAGGCCGCAAGGATATTCATGACAAGCGAAAAGGGCAGAGATGAAGAGAGAACACACAAAATCTGGGGCTGTTCAGATGTTGCCAAAAGAACTTTCACGAAGGGACATGTAGGTACAATGCTATAAGATTTATTCAGTTTTCTGAGGGGTGTGAATTACAGAGTTCATCCACTAGTCATGACTCAGCAAATGGCATGCTAACAATGAGTGTCTGTAAATGTTACTTCAATAAAGAGAAATGAAATATAAAGTCGCTTTACTGCCTGAAAATTCAAGAAGGTGTACTGCAGTTTTTCGTATATATTTCAATAACAAGGTGGCCCAAAATTCCAAAATGAAATACTTGTTCAAAAAGACAAAACATCCCTCATCAGGTAATTCCAGGCTCATGACAGGAAACCCAACCAGACAGGGCATGGGTGGCCAGATCAGGCAGGACCCTGAGGGGCACCCAAAGGATGTGGGACTGTATTAGTGGAAAGGCACATCCTGCAAAGGCAAACAGAGAAGTGACCTGACCTGCCTGCTGTTGAAGAACAGCTGACAGGAAGGCACACGCACAAGCAGGAGGCAGTGAGAAGCTGTTGGGAGTAGGTAGAGACATGAAAGCTGGAGGCTTGGGCCAGGGGAGGCCACCCTGGTGCCAGGAAGGACAGTACAGCTTAGAGCTGTTTGCTTCTCAACTGAACATCCACCTCCTTAGGGTCTGTCTCTGTCATCTAAAGCTTCTCCTTTATTCCCAAGTGTAATATCCTATCCAATTTGAAGGAGTGATATCCTATAAAAAATAATTGCTGGATACATTAAAAAAAATTTGAATTCCATTACTATAACCCTTACGTGCTCTAAGGAGTATTTCTCCAAATTCTGACTGAGACCTGCTGTTATGAATACAACAGGTGATCAAATGAGCATCCTTTACTTATTTACACACTATTTTGGTTGTATGACTGCAGTTCATACAAGGAAATTTACTCTATTTTATTCTGTACAATAATGATGTAACTTACCAACCTATTTTACCACCAAGATATTGCAAGTGCAATTTCCAAAAACCAGCCAAGGTAAAGATAATAAATCCAACAGGAATTAGGTCATGTACATCTCCAGGTTTGGGGACATATTTCAAGAGCCCAAAACTCTGAAACATGCAAAATCAAAATACTCCTGGGAACTACAGTCAAGATGGCGGCACAGGGAAACACACCTTGTCTCTTCTTACAACCTCTTACAAAGTTACAACTAAGTCAGAAAACAAACATTACTCAGAATCATCAGAAATCGAGTTGAATGGAAGTCTGACAACTACAAATTAAAGAAACCACATCTATCCAGAGTGGCAGAAGGGGTGGAGATGAGAAAAAGACACCATCCACAACCACACGGGTGGTATGAAATGATTAGGAGGGCAATCTTGGGAGTGAGGATTCCCACTCCTATACTAGGCGCCCCTGCCCAGGGTTCCTCTGCCAGGAAAATCAGTCCCCATAACTTCTATCTGCAAAACCTACCAGGGATTGAGTTGGTGAAAAAAACTGCTGGATCCCCAATCAGCTCCTCTTAAAGAACCCACAAATGACCTTACTCAGATGAACTTCCTGAGATCCACCAGCAGGGTAGCAGACACGAAGGCATCAGTGGAATAGAGGGACAAATGGAAGTATCTGTCACCAAGGCAACAGCTGGGGGACAGCTTTTCCCCTGACAGAAAGGTGGGGAGGGCCATGGAGGCAGCAGGCAGGTACCGTATCTTAGACTCCATCAATCTAATACTGTTTGGCCCACCTGGAGATCCCTAGAGCCTCTCTCCCTCCCAACTTACAACTGTTAACAGTAACTCTTCCATGTGAATGGCTTGTCTTGGCTCATGCTTCACAACTTCATAAATACATTCAAATAAGCAATTACTAGCTTCAGTGAGCCCCTAGCCCCAGTACTTTTTGCTAAGAGTCTCAGGCACAGCACCAGCCACCCTAAATTCACAGCCTCGGAGTCTCCAAGACCAGCACAAGTAGCAGCCACCTCAGTTTGCTCTATAGATTAGGCAGGGTGGCTCCTGGTAAAACACAGGTGGGGACTGACCTTGGCCTACACCACTTGGGAAACCCTGGAGCCAGCACACCAAGTGCACAACTACAGACCATGTGGGAACACCAACACCCTGCCTTAAATAGCTGGTACTCCACGAATGCAGATGTTGGTGGTTAGTGGTCATAGCCAATCCTTGGAGATGACTGCCTGGGTAAATCCCTGCCATTGACCCGCAATAGCAACCAAGGCTCAACTACAAGACTAGGGTGTACTCAGCCCTCATGAAGGGTGCATCTCAAGTAGCCAGCTTGGGTGATAAGGTGGGCTGTGCTACTGGACCCTAAAGGACACCTACTGCATAGGCCATAATACTAGGACAGGGAGTCACAGCAGATCAACCTAATGCATAGAAAGAAACACAAGGAGGCTGCCAAAATGAGGAGACAAAGAAACATGGCCCAAATGAATGAACAGGTCAAAACTTCACACACAAAAAAACCAAACGAAATGGAGATAAGCAAACTAGCAGATGCACCGCTGAAAACACTGGTTATAAGGATGCTTAAGAAACTTAGTGAGGACCTCAACAGCATAAAAAAATCCAGGCAGAAACAAAGGACACATTAATTGAATAAAGAACAATTTATACGGAAACTACAATAGAGTGGAAGAAGCTAAGAATCAAGTCAATGATTTGGAACATAAGGAAGCAAAACAGAATCAATCAGAAGAAGATGAGAAAGATATCCAAAAAAAGGGGGATAACATAAGGAGCCTCTAGGACAACTTCAAGCATTCAAATATTTCTGTCACAGGGGTGCCAGAAAGAGAAGAGAAAGACCAAGAAATTTGAAATCTATTTGTAAAAAAAAAGGGAAGTAAACTTCCCTAATTTGGTGAGGGATATAGACATGCAAGTCCAGGAAACAGTTTCCTGGACAAACAAAATGGAAGTGAAGAGGCCCCCTCCAAGAACATCCTATATTAAAATACCAAAGGTTAAAAACAAAGAAAGAATCTTAAAAGCAGCAAGAGAAAAGCAGTTAAGCTGCCTACAGGGGAATTCCCATAAGACTTTCAGCTGGTTTCTCAAAAGAAACTTGTCAGGCTGTGTGGGATTGTCAAGGAATATTCAGTCATAAAAACCAAAAAACTACAGCGAAGATTGCTCTACCCAGCAAAAAGACATTATTTAGAAATGAGGGGCAGATAAAGAGCTTCTCTGAGAAGAAATTAAAGGAGTTCATCATCACCAAGCCACTCTTATACAAAATGTTAAGGGGAATTAAAAGATCAAAACTATGAATAAAAAGGCAAAAGCTACATTATCAATCAAAAACTGAATCTAAAAAACAAATTAAATAGCCCTGGCTGGTACCCCTGGCTGGTATGGTTCAGTGGATTAAGTGCCAGCCTGCAAATCAGGGGGCTGAAAATTCCATTCCTGGTCTTGGGCAAATGCCTGCGTTGTGGGCCTGGCCCCCAGTACAGGGTGCAAATAGGTACTTACAGAATAGCCATGGGGATGTAAAGTACAGTACAGGAAAGGAGTAGAACCTTTCCTTTACACATGACCCAGATATGTAAACAATGATATGAATACCCTGAGAGAGTGGTGGTGCTTGGTAGAGGGGGGAAAGGGAGAAAAACTGGGACAACTGGAATAGGACAATCAATAAAACATAATGAAAAGAATTTCATTCTTGTCACACTCTTATGAGCTGACATTCAGGTAGAGGGGGCACCTGTCCTCACCCACAGACACCAGGTTCCTGAGGTTCTCCAGGGTCACATCTCGGTACAGCATCCTCTGGGAAGGGTCCAGCAGCCCCAGCTCCTCCTCTGTGAAGACCACAGCCACGTCCTTGAACGTCACAGCCTCCTACAACACCAAACACAGTCGACCTCAATGTCACAACCACCCTCCACTGGGATAAGGGCAGCACTGAGTGGGCAGGGACGATTGGTGGGAAGTTACTCTGGATGCTGAGGGGCTTGAGTCTCCCTTAGGTAGTGTCCTCCTGTTCCCAACCCAGTGTGTCAACTTCATACATTAATCTTCTATAGTACCATTAAAGTATGTGCAATTAAAGAATAATTCCTGCAGACCTCACTTGGTGTCATTTGTGGGTATTCCTACAGTAGGGACCCTGGAACTGGAACTCTTGAATCACGGGGGGCTATACACTCTACATGCTGATCAATTCTACCAAATTGTTCCAGAATCGTTAGGTCCATTTACTCCCAACAGGGTCTGGTAGTTTTCATCCTTCCTTTCTCACTCCTGCATTCACTGAGCCTGGGTACAGTCACTTTGTTAAAATTTGACAAAACAATAGGTCACCTCTCCTGAGGAGTTATGACATTGGCCCTCTATGCTCTCAAGGCACATACCGCCTGTCTGTGACACTATTTATGAGAGCATTCAAAGTGTCAAAGTGGCTTATTTCCCTGCCAGAATACTTGAGTTTAAATCCTAAAGCTGTGTGTGTGCCTCTCCCAAGCTGCACGATCTTAGACCAAAAACCCCTTCATCTATTTCCTCATCTGTGTGATGCTGCTCATCACAGAAAATACTTACACCTACCAATGAATGAACAGACATAAAGTTACAATAACTGTCCTGTCCAATGCAGAAGCCAGTACTCACATGTGGCTATGGAAATATAAGGTTAACATTACATAAAATAACAAATTCTCTCCCACAGCTGCAGTGGAACATTTCAAATGCTCCAGAGCCACATATGGCCTGTGGCTACCACATTACACAGCACAACAGACAACATGTCAATCACGGCAGAAGTTCTGCTGCACGGCACTGCCTGAGAGTCTATACACCTGGCACACAGGAGGTCCTCGATGAGTGTCAGCTGTTCTCAATACGATTGGTATGGTACCAGTGGCATTACATTTGTGTATTAATTTAGTCACGTTTACTTTCTTTTCATGTTTGCATGAGACATCATTTTCCCTTTTATTTTTAACATGCTTATGTCCTTATATTTAATGTGAGTTTCTAATTATCTATTGTTGGTCACTTTATTTGTGTCTTAATCCGAGGACACTTTATCCATTGCTTTGAGAGATAGCGAGAGAGAGAGAAGGGGCGGGAAGAAAGGACAACATCAATGTAAGAGAGAAAACATCCATCAGTTGCCTCCTGTATGCAGGTTGACTTGGGACTGAACTGACAACCTGAATATGTGCCCTGACCACGAATCAAACTTGCAACCTTTAGGGGTAGGACAATGCTCCATCCAAACCACACTGGCCAGTGCCAGTTGGGTTATATTTCTTAATCACAATTCAAACCACAGTATTTAGGCCATTTACATTTAATGAATTACTTATGTTAGGATTTCAGTCTGTCGTTTTGCTTTTTTTCCTTTCTTTTCCCCTATCTTCCTGCATGTTACTTGACCATTTTTAAAATTGCATTTTGATTTATATACAATATCTTAGAGGATATCTTTGTATAATTTTAGTGGTTGCTATAATTATTACACTACTTACAAGTAACTTAACAGTCTATTGTTGTTATGTTCCCAGTTCCAATGAAAAGTAGAAACCTTACTTCTCTTTAAGTGCCTTTATCTTATCCCACTTGTAAGTCTTAAATGCAAGAGATCAACATGTCTCACAGATCGATGTTCCTCTCCTTTGTCCCTTCTCCGCTCACTAAAAGAAATAAAAATATCTAAAAAATACATCAGAAAATGCTATTATTTTTGCTTCGTTCCTTTAGCTATTCTTTTAGCACAAGTCCCCTAGTGACAAATACACTTGATTTCCTTCATTTATAAATGCCCTGATTTCCCCTTTATTCCCAAAGGATATTCTTACTGGACAGAGAATTCCAAGTTGAAGGTGCTTTTCGTTCAGCACTTGAAAAATACTCTCCTTTCTGATAAGAAATTCAATGTCACTTAAATTGTTTTTCCCTTATTGCTTTCAAGATTTCTTCTTTCTTGTTAGTTTTCAGAAGTTTAACAGTACAATGTATTGGTATAATTGTTTTGGGTTTCCTCCACCCAGAGTCCACTTAGTTTCAGAAATCTGTAGGTTTATTTCTCTTCCAAGTTATGGCTATTTTCCAGCATATTTCTTCAAGAACATTTTCACTCCAACCCTCTTTCTCCTGTCCTTCTAGGACCCATAGAACAGGAATATTGGACCCCTTGTTATATTTCCATGGATACCTGAGGTCCCAATTAGTTTTTCTCAGTCCGTTTTTCTCTATTAGTCTATCTTCAACGTCTTTCCTCTTTCCCTTCATTCTGCTGTTGAGTCCATTGTTTTAGTTTTTTCAATTTCATTTACTTTATTTTTCAGTTCTAAAATTCCCATTTGGTTCTACTTCAGATTTTCTTTTTCTCTCCTAAGATTTTCTAGTTTTCATTTCATGTCTGTAGGTGGTTGCAGAAAGATGTTTAGAATGGCTGCTTTAAAATCCTTCTCAGATGCCCTTGCTGGATGGCTCAGCTGTTTGGAGTGTCCTCCCATACACCAAGAGGTTGTGGGTTCACTCCCCTGTCAGGGTGCATTCAGGAGGCAACAGGAAGCAGATCAGTGCTTCTCTCTCACCCTCTCTCTCTTTCTCCCTCCATCCCTTTCCTTCTCTAAGATAAATAAAATCATAGGCTCAGGTGAGGATTAAAAGAAAATTTTAAAATGTCCTGGCTGGTGTGACTCAGTGGTTTGAATGCCTGCCTGTGAACATAAAGGTGGCTGGTTCGATGTTTGGTCCGGGTGCATGCCCGAGTTGCCAGCTAGGTCCCTGGTTGGGGGCCTGCAAGGGACAACCACACACTGACGTTTCTCTTGAGCATCAATGTTTCCCTGTCTCTCATTCCTTCTCCCTTCCCCTCTCTCTAAAAAAATACAATAACAAAAAAATAATGAAATACAATAAAATAATAAGTAAAATAAACCCTTGTCAGATGGGTGAACCTGAAGACATTATGCCAACTGAAATGAGCTAGTCAGAAAAGGATGAGGTATGTAATTCCACTTATATGAGGTACCTAGAATAGTCAAGTACATAGAGAAACAAAGTAAAATGGTGGTTGTAAGGCACTAGGGACAGGGGGAATAGAAGTTACCTGTAATGGGTACAGAGTTCAGGAATGTGAAAAGAGTTCTGGACGTGTGTTGAGAATTCACACAATGTCAATGTACTTAATGACACTGAATGGTACACTTAAAAGCAATTAATGTGGTAAATTTCATGTTATGTATGTGATACATTAAGAAAATGTCCTTATCAGATAATTAGCGTCTGTGTCATCTCATGGTTCCTGCACTGTCCCTCTTTGTGGTCTCCTATTCCTGACAGACTGAGGCTATTCTAAAAATTTATTTTAAAGATTTTTATTTATTTATATTTAGAGAGAGGGAGAGAAGGAGGGAAACATCAATGTGTGGTTGCCTCTCACACCCCCCCTACTGGGGCACTGGCCTGCAAACCAGGAATGTGCCCTGACTGGCAATAGAACCAGCTAGAATGACCCGAAGGACAGCACTGAATCCACTCAGCACCAGCCAGGGAAAGAAGTCCATGTTTAAAATGGGCAAGTGACTTCAACAAACTTCAAAAAGGATATACAGATGGTGAAAACGCACATGACAAAGTATCCAACATCATTTTTATTTGGAAAATATAAATTATAATCACAGTGGAATGTCAATTCCTTACAGCCAATGAAATAAAAAAGATCTACATCAAACAATGGAAAGACGTGGAGCAACTGAAACTCTCAGACGCTGTGGGGGGCTGTATAATGGTACCACCCCTTTGGACAACTGTTTACATTTGTCCAAATGTAGTTTACATAACTACCCTACAAGCTGAGTCATTTCACTTGTAGATGTTCACCCAAGTGACATGAAAACACACGTCCACAATAAGACCTGTACAAGAATGCCACTCACAGGACCTTTATGTATAACAGTCAAAAGCTGTAAAACAACCCAAACATCCTTCAAAAGGAAAATTTTGTCTGTCCTTCCAAAAGTTGGCTGTCATATAGTCACAGAATGAAATACAAGTCAACAATAAAGAGACAACACATTGATACACACAACATAGACCGATCTTGAAAACACTGTGCCAAGTGAGAGAAGACAGATACAAGGTTACATACTATACAAATTTGTTACTTATATTTACTTTGAAAATAAGTCAACTGATCATGTGATGACAGATCAGAACAGCAGATGCTTTCCCTGAGGAGGAAACTGACTTGAAAGGTACATGAGAGAACTTTGAGGGGTAATAGAAATGTTCTATTTTTGGTTTTGGGTGGTGGGTTAATGCAATTCTTCAACTTTTAAAACAGGATATACCTCTAGCACTGACTTTCCACCTAAGATGTGTAATTTTAATAAGTAAATTATATTTCATTTTTAAAAGCCCATGCAAAACTTTGATGACTCAAAACAAAATTTATTCACAGGCACAGTGATACATATGCTTGTGTGTAGCTGCTGAAGCTGCACAAAAATAGAAACCGTCCTGAGACAACACATAGTTGTGGAAACAGGGCCCCCTCCCCAAGCTCCAACCCCACTTCCCACCCTGTGGAACACAGTGAAGGTCAACTGTGGGACCTTGTGAGCCTGGCCAGCTCTCTGGCCAAGAAATTGTTTTGGAATGTTGGCCCAGAGTATAAACGACAACATAGAAAACAGCCAGCGCTTTGATCTCACTCAGCTTGCAAGCAAACAGCCTGCATACCCTGTCTGCTTTCTTTTCTGTACTCTATTTACCCCTGTGCTGGGAAAGCCTGGGTTCACGTGATTTCACCAGCCAGCCAGGTGTTGTACTTCAAGGCCTAATAAACCCTTGTCTTACACAGCCAGTGCTCTTGTTTCCTTCTTTGGACTGGGCAAGCAATTTGCATAACAAAGTACATACAAGAATGGTGAATCACCAAAGACTCAAGTGATAACACTAAGGGGGAAAAAAAGATTGAAAAGCAAACATATACTGTCATTGTAAGTATATAAAATATAATATGGGGAAACCAGCTGACTTAGTGGTAGGATAATGTGGCTTTTAAAACTTTTCTGACATCTTGGAATTTCTGCCCTAGTACTTGTGAAATGAACAGGATTAAACAAAAACAAAACTAAAAATAAAACTTAAAGACAAAAACAAACGTACAACAACTACAAAAGCTACTAACAGGCACACAATAAAAACCGGTTTTTTATCCTTCGCATGGAAGAGAAAAAAGATGTGTCTAATGTCTGAGAACAGATTTTAACAGGTAAAAATCAGAAAAAGTTACTGGAACAACTGTAACAGAATGAAAAACTAAAAAATAGATTAAAAGTCAAAACTCCACCCACCTGGAACTTGGTCATTTTCTCCTGCTCCTTCTGAGGAAGTCCAAGCGTCCTGGAAAGACAGGAGTGGCAAACGACAGAGAGGACATGAGACCGGGCCTTGGCACTATTGGCTGCTCTGTGTTAATTTTTAAGAAAGACCCCTATAGCGCCCAGTCAGTTTGGCTCAGTGATTGGGCGTCATACAAACCAACAGGTGGCAGGTTTGATCCCCAGTCAGGGCAAATGTCTACGCTCCAAGTCAGGAGGTCTCAGAGGATTGTTTCTTCCGCACAAAAATGTTTCTCTCCCTCTCCTTCTCCCTCCCTTCCCCTCTCTCTGAAAATAAGTAAATAAAATTTTTAAGAAGAACCACACACTATCAACTAGCAGAAGGCAGACTCTGGCCCATCTGTCTGGTGATATTACAACTACCTCGACTCTGGAAAGGCAAACAGTGAAATTAAATGACTGTACAAACATAGTATCTCTGCCCCAGCTGGTGTGGCTCAGCGGATTAAGTGCTGCCCTGCAAATCAAAGGGTGTTTCCTGGCCCTGGCTGGTGTAGCTCAGTGGACTGAGCGCGGGCCTGCGAACCCGGTGCCATTCCCAGTCAGAGCACATGCCTGGGTTGCAGGCCAGTTCCCAGTAGTTCCCAGCAGTTCCCAGCAGGGGATGCAGGAGAAGCAACCATACACTGATATTTCTCTCCCTCTGTCCTTCCCTTCCCCTCTAAAGATAAATAAATAAAATCTTAAGGGGGGAAAAAAAAGTACCCTCAAAGGGTGTTTCCTTCCCAGTCAGAGAGCCTGGGTTGCGGGCCAGGTCCCCAAGAAGGGGGCGCTGGACAGGCAACCACACACGGATGTTTCTGTTCCTCTCCTTCGTCCCCCCTTCCTCTCTAAAAATGAATAAACTAAATCTTAAAAAAGAAAAGATCATGTCACTAGAAGCCAGCAGGCGTGAAAACTCAATGGAACCCTAGCACCAACAGACCCTCAAACCTGGAACCGCGACCCCTGCCCGTCCCCAACCCATCAGCCGACCCAACGCAAAAATGCCTTCCGCACTTCCTCTTCCCTGAGAGCCAGACCGCACCTGCGAGGCCCAGCTAGTAAGAGAGCGGAGGTTCCACACTCACTCACTTTCTAGAAGATATTGACCAGTCGGGCGCCTCGCTCTCCTGAAGAAAAATCCTGGGACTGGACTCTGCTCTAACGCCGCGCTCAAAATCCTGGACCGGAACAACCGCCAGAGCTCCTCCCTCGCACGGCGGAAGTGGATAGCCTGGCGCTTCTGGACTACACTTCCCAGAATCCACAAAAAGGTATTGCTTACTTTGCGTTGCCACTTTCAAAAAATGCATGATGGTTGATTCCTTTTTGTCCTTAGAGGCTATTTTTTTGTTTCTCTTTCTCTTTTTTTTAAAGATTTTGTTTATTTATTTAGAGAGAGGGAAAGAGGAGAAAGAGAGGAAGAGAAACATCAATATATGGCTGTCTCTCATGTGTCTCCAACTGGGGACCTGGCCCATAACCCAGACATGTGCCCTGACTTGGAATGGAACCAGCAACCCTTTGGTGTGCAGGCCTGCGCTCAATTCACTGAGCTACACCAGCCAGGGTTCTTATTTTAAATATAGGTTATTGATTATGCTATTACAATTCTTCCATTTTTTCCCCCTTCGCTCTCCTCCACCCTGCTCACCCTCTCCCACCCACATTCCCCTTGTTTAGTTCCTTTCCATGTGTCATACTTTTAAGTTCTTGGCTTCTACATTTCCCTTACTATTCTTACCCTCTACCTATCTATTTTCTACCTGCCATTTATGTTACTTATTCTCTGTACCTTTTCCTCCGCTATCCTCCTCCCACTCCCCTGTTGCTAACCCTTCATGTGATCTCCATTTCTGCGATTCTGTTCTGGTTCTAGTTGTTTGCTTAGTTTGTTCTTGTTTTTGTTTTAGGTGTGGTTGTTCATAATTGTGAGTTTGCTGTCATTTTACTGTACATGTTTTTTATCTACTTTTTTTCTAGATAAGTCCCTTTAACATTTTATATAATAAAGACTTGGTGATGATGAACTCCTTTAACTTGACCTTATCTGGGAAGCGCTTTATCAGCCCTTCCATTCTAAATGAAAGCTTTGCTAGATAGAGCAATCTTGGGTGTAGGCCCTTGCCTTTCATGACTTGGAATACCTCTTTCCAGCCCCTTCTTGCCTGCAAAGTCTCTTTTGAGAAAACAGCTGACAGTCTCATTGGAACCCCTTTTTACGTAACTCTCTCATTTTGTCTTGCTGATTTTAAGATTCTCTCCTTATCTTTATTCTTGGGTAATGTGATTATGATGTGCCTTGGTCTGTTCCTTCTTAGGTCCACCTTCTTTGGGACTCTCTGAGCTTCCTGGACTTCCTGGAAATCTATTTTCTTAGCCATAATGGGGAAATTCTCCTTTATTATTTGTTCAAATAAGTTTTACACTTGTTGCTCTTCCTCTTTCCCTTCTGGAACCCCTATAATTTGGATGTTGGAACGTTTGAAGATGTCCTGCAGGTTCCTGAGCCTCTCCTTTATTTGAATTCTTGTTTCTTTATTCCTCTCTGATTGGGTGTTTCTTTCTTCCTTTTATTCCACATGTCAGCCCCAGTTTCCTTCCCATCATATTGGTCCCCTGTACATTTTTCTTTATTTCGCTTAACATAACCTTCATCTTTTCATCTAATTTGTGACCAAATTCAACCAATTCTGTGAGCATCCTGATTACCAGTGTTTTGAACATACACAGCTGCCTAGCTCTTCATCACTTAATTTTATTTTTTCTGGAGCTTGATATGTTCTTTTGTTTGGGCCTTTTTTTTTTTTTTTTTTTTTTTTTTGGTCTCAGCACATTTGTTAGATAGTAAGAGGCAGAGACTTGGGTATTCACCAGAGCAGGGCAACCCATTGCTGGTGACCCAATTGGTTACTCTTTGCGGGTTTTTGCACTTCAAAAGCTGTCTCTAAGAACAAACAAGAGAGTCTTAACCTCCCTGGATTGGCCCCACTATCTCTTATTCCCCACTAATAAACCCTGCTCCCTGGCTTGCGGTGTCCATCTGGTTTCTTCAGCGACTCCTACCTAACACTGTACAGTAGGTGCTCAGACCTTAATTATCTTATAATTGCAGATTTGTATCATTCAACCCCATTTCCGCCATCCCACCCCTCCTCAGGCAACCACCACCATTCTAGTCTGTTTCTATAAGTTTGATTTTTTTTCTTAGATTCCACATATAATTCTACCATGCAGTATTGTTACAGAAAGGATTGCTAGGAAGGATAAAACAGTTACTGAATGGACCCGCCCCTTTCCCTGGGGTCCCCGTAGTAAGTTCACCTTCCTTACCACCAGAGAATTATAGTTCTCAATGTCAGAGATTGGTGAAAAGGAAAGGAATTATTTACTCAAAAATTATACAAGCTAAAGAGTAGTGACTTAGTGTCTTCATTGAGGTCCCAAAGTCTCTTAGAATACCCACAAACACACACAGTCCTTCCTTCCCCCTCTGCCCAGTTTGGGGTACCATATCTCAGGAAAAGAAATATAAGTCCAAGGCTCAGGTAGCCCCTCAGTTCTTTCCAGTAATCTGCACTCGGCTAGCTGGCCTCACTAGGTTCCCAGCGCCATCAGCTGTGTTACTGCTGTGATCTCCAGTAAATCCAAAACCATGTGGTACCCTCTCATGGCTCACCAGCAAGAATCCTTTCACCCCTTTTCTTTCCAGCAAGGTCTCTCTTGCTTCCTATGCCATGAAGCAAAAGGGAGCACCCCAAAACTCCATGTTCACGACTCTGCAGGGCTGCCATGCCTGTGTTTAAATCCCAGCATCAGTATTCCCCTGCAGCCCCATTTCCCACTCCTCCCACAATCCGCCACTCCTGCCAGCATTCCCGAAAGTTTCCAGCTTTTCTCGGCTGTCATAAGTTCAAAAAGGTGTGGAGCCAATCATCACCAAGCTCTCACACAGGCGCTGTAACCAGGGGGTGTCGCCTACAAGTTGCCTGATGGGTTGAAGTCACTACCATCTCCCTGGCTCAAAGCATGGGCAGGGCTATTTATCATATCCATGAAACCAGTTAGAAGTTACAGATATGTTAAATGACCATGCCTCAGGTTAGCTGCAAAATTGTCACTATGCAAAACAGTTCTCACTGGCCTTGCTCCTTGTGTCACATCCCCCACTTCAGACTTGTGGGAGTGAGTATATCCTATATATATATATATATATATATTTTTTTTTAAATTTTTCTTGGACACCTTGAGTTCTGGACCCCATTAGAAATCCCTATTTGGGGCTCCCCTGGCTGCACCCTGTTACATGTTTTCTCTGCACTTCCATGCTTATGTGATTATAATCACATTACAATTATATCTGGATTACTGTAGGACATTGTGCTCCAGCCAGAGCAGAGGATGACATGAAGCATAGCCACCCCCAGGACAGCCAGGACCCAGCAGTTGTGGTGACTTGGAGGACAGGGGTGGAGGAGCCACTAGAGGAGCCATGGCAACATCTGCCCCACCTCCCAGGCTCAGTAAATTGTGGGAAAGATGAATCAACCATCTTTTATAAGAAGAACATAGTCCTGGGGGCTTTCCTTACTGCTGTGCAATGGTTTTCATCTCAAAGTTTTTAATAATTTACCTGTGTTTTTTTCTTGCCCCACTGGTTTTTATGGGTTTTAATTCCACATATTTGTGAATTATTGATTCACATAAAACATATGGGTATTTGGGCACAGGCATGTCTCCATAAATTGCAAAAACATTCCCGAACACAGAGATATGTCTTTCTGTCCTCTTAGAGGAGACCTGTCTGAACCAGCCAGTGCTCCTCTGTACTGAACTTGGCAACAAAAGGAAATTACAGGAAGATTATAAGTGGCAGACAGTGAGGGATAATTTCTTTCATGCTAATCGGTTCAGGTACTTGGTCACTTCCTAAATTGGGGACAAGTCAAAAACTACTGTACAATCTCTGATGTTTATATTTCTCATCTTATTGATGACAGTTTCATTCCATTGTGTTCAGAGAATACTTCATATGCTTTGTATTATTTCTTCATATACTTCATATATTTTGTATGATTTCTTTTTAAATTTTAAGACCTGACTTGTGGCCTAGTAAATGGTCTATTCTGTTTAATATTCCAGATCCACTTGAGGAAAAAACATGCATTTGGCTGATTTTTAAAACCTGTAAAGGTTTAAAGTGGTAAAAGTTTAAGTCCTAAAGTTTTAGAAGTACAATATTGAAGCAATTCTTACCTGTATTATCATGCATTTTTTATCTCAAAAGTGAGGGCATCTGAGATATAGAATTTTGCTTATATCAGTCCACATAAATTCTCTCTGGCATATCACTTGCTTTTTTCTTATAATTCTTTAAAACTGTGAAAGCTTAGTTCTCAGGCCATACAAAAAACAAAAAAGATACAATCCAGATTTGGCCAGCTGGCTACAGTTTGCCGATATCTGGCTTAGCATTTTATTTTTAGATTTTTGTTTACTTATTTTTAGAGTGAGGGGATCGGAGGGAGAAAGAGAGGGAGAGAAACATCAACGTGTGATTGCCCCTCCCGTGCTGATGCTGGGGACCTGGCCTGCAACTGAAGCATGTGCTGAGTGGGAATCAAACCTGTGACTTTTTGGTTCACAGGCTGGCACTCAATCCACTGAGCCACATCAGCCAGGGCTGGCTTAGCATTTTATCATAAATAGAGTTATAATTACATGTTATAATTACATCTATGTTGAAAGTAATAGCTATCTCTGTATAGCTCTTACCATATGCCAGGCATATACCTTCAACCCTCATAACACAAGTAAGACAGTGTTATCATCCACACTGAACGCACAAGCAGATTCAGGAAGAGAGGTTAAGTATCTTATCTTCGGTTACTCATCTAGCCAAGGGCTGAACTGAACAGAGAGTCAAATTCCAAAGTCTGCTTTTTAATCAGTATCCTGCAGTGCTTTGTAATCAATCTTCTACCTTGCTCTCTTTGACATTAGTTTCTCCCAAAATGCTTTAGGTCTCTCAAGAAGCAATGGAGGGATGCTGGAATGGTCTGAGACCTGTGTCAAACTCCCTCTAAAAGTACAAAGGAGAATGAGAGGTTCACAGTTGATGACAAGATGCGGGGCTGACCAATGGCATCAGCTGGATCCACAGGCCAGCACTCCTCCCCCAACCTACACCTCACAAGGAACCACTTCTTTCCATTAGCAGTACTGGTGTCTACAAGGAATTATTAACTACAACATTCTTATCTGGATATGCTCATCTTTGGGTTTTTCTATCGGGTACTTTTCTTTTTGGTTGCAGTAGTATATTTTATTTGGTGTAAAGGGTCAATGCCCTGAAAATGGGGAAAGTTATGTTGCGGATACTATGTCATTCAAAAATCACCTCCGGTATTAGTTGTCCAAATGTATTCTTCCTAGTACAACAGGACGGCCAAGTTCTGGCTGATGCATGGCCACATTCTCAAGTAAATGCATGGGTTACACTGGGAGTCCAATTTCTAATTCCTGGAGAATAAGAACACAGTATGGAATTGGGGAAGGCTAGAAGAACACAAGTAAGAATTGGTGGTGCCCTGGCTGGTGTGGCTCAGTGGACTGAATGCCAGCCTGTGAACCAAAAGGTCGCTGGTTCTATTCTCAGACAGGTCCCCAGTAGGGGACCAATTGATATATAACTCATACATTGATGTTTCTCTCCCTCTCTTTCTCCCTGCCTTCCTCTCTCTCTAAAAATAAATAAAACCATTTAAAAAATAAAAAAAGAATTGGTGATTAAAATATGAACTCATGATTTAATTCTTTTTACCTATCTACCAACCATCATCATCTCCATTCCCCACATAGTAAAAAACAAAAATAAATAAAAATTACACCCCCCAGTATGAGAACCAGGAATCCCACAGAAATAGCATATTCCATGGCTGAAGGAAAGTGGGAGATGCATCTGGAACATCATATTGTGCCAGGGTTAGGACAGTCTTTGATTTGTGAAAAATAGGAATGAGGAAGGTAGTATATCACCCTTTTTGCAAACAGTAGCAATAATCCATTAAGCCAGACGCAGCAATGAATACTAAAACTAGTGAAGGAAAATTTGTTGAGAAAGAAGCTATTTAGATAACCAGAAAATATCTCTGCATAAATTAATAAGTACAAGGGGAAAAAAACGGTAACTTAACAATGGAAAAACCCAGCTCATGCCTACCTTAATCAAATTATCCAGTTTAAGCAATAATGGGACAGATGTATCATGCATATTTCCTCATGTGATGCACCAAGGGCACACCACTTGGGGAATACTTTTGCCAAAAAGAAAAAGCCTAATTTAAACCCAATCATGAGAAAAAAATGAAATTCAAATTTAAGAGACATTCAAGCCCTGGCTGGTATGGCTCAGTGGACTGAGCAGCAGCCTGCAAACCAAATTTAAGAGACATTCAAGCCCTGGCTGGGTAGCTCAGTTGATGACCATGTTGTACACATACGCCAAGGTTGTGGGCTCACTCCTGCGTCAGGACACATACAAGAACCAACCAATAATGCACAAATAACTGGCACGAGACGCTGGTTGTTGCATACACGAGTTCTTGTGTATGGGAAATTTTTACTTTATTACATTACTTCTCTCCCACTTCCCCTCTAAAATCAATAAACATATCCTTGGGTGAGGGTTAAATTCTTTTTCATTAAAAATCAATCAATAGGACTTCCGCCAAGATGGAGGCATAGGTGAAGACGCGGTGCCTTCTCACACAACCAAGTTTAGAGACAACTAAATATTAGCAACAGAAAACACAGCCAGAACACGGAAAATTGAACTTTCCGGAAGTCCGTTAACAACAAATTCTTCAGCCTGACCGGTAAGGGGCGAAACCAGCGGCTGGTGAGGGGTTGCACAGGAGGACTCGGTCAGACGGACTCAGGCGCAGAATCCAGACGAACGGAATCCAGGCGCAGGGTTGGACCTAGTGAGCGACCGAGCGAGCCACCAGGTGAGCGACCGCGAAGGAGACAGTGGGAAAGCGGTGCTGCGTGTTGACTGTGGTCGCCCATTTGTGCGCGAGCGGACAGGCGAGGGAGTGGGCGGTTAGACCGGGGCCTGCGGTCCCGTGGCAAGCGGCAGTAGAGGGTACCGCCATTTCCCCGCTCTGACCACGCCCCCACATACAGCGTCACAACCCAGCGACCTGGGAGTCCAAGGAACCGCTTCTCACACTTAAAGGGCCAGAACAGACCAAAATGTCGCAAGTTCTCAAAGCTCCAGAGCCCATAGATCTAAGCAATGAAGAAATAGCAAAACTCTCAGATGCACAGTTTAAAACACTGGTCATCAGGATCCTCACAGAACTGGTTGATTATAGCCACAAATTAGACAAATATATGAAGGCGAAACTAATTGAAATGAATGGAATTGCACAGGACACCAATAGCAATGAAAAGGAAACTGGGACTCAAAGCAATGGAGTGGACCAGAAGAAAACAAATAATGGCCAAACAGAAAAGAGTCAGGAAGCAAGAATTCAAAGAAATGAGGAGAGACTTAGGAACCTCGAGGACATCTTTTTTAACGCACTGACATCCAAATTATAGGGGTACCAGAAGGGGGAAAGGAACAGCCACCAGTGAAATACTTATTTGAACAAATAATAAAGGAGAATTTCCCCAATCTGGCAAAGGAAATAGACTTCCAGGAAATCCAGGAAGCTCACAGAGTACCAAAGAAGTTGGACCCAAGAAGGAACACACCAAGGCACATCATCATTACATTAGCCAAGATTAAAATGAAGGAGAGAATCCTAGAAGCAGCAAGAGCTAAGGGGACAGTCACCTACAAAGGAGTCCCCATCAGACTGTCAGCTGATTTCTCAAAAGAGACCTTACAGGCAAGAAGGGGCTGGAAAGAGGTATTCCAAGTCATGAAATCCAAAAACCTACAACCAAGATTGCTCTATCCAGCAAAACTTTCATTTAGAATGGAAGGACAGATAAGGTGCTTCTCAGATAAGATCAAATTCAAGGAGTTCATCATCACCAAGCCCTTATTATATGAAATGTTAAAGGGACTTATCTAAGAAAAAGAAGTTAAAGAAACATGAACAGTGAAAGGACAACAAACTCACAGTTATTAACAACCACACCTAAAACAAAAGCAAATTAAAAGGACAGCTAGATCAGGAGTGGAAACATAGAAATGAAGATCTCAAGGAGGGTTAGCAACAGGGGAATGGGAGGAAGAGATGTGGGGAGAAGGTACAGAAAATAAGTAGCATAGACAGTAGATAGAAAATAGATTGGGGGGGGCAAGAATAGCATGGGAAATATAGAATCTAAAGGACTTGAGACACATGGTCATAAACTAAAGGGGGGTAATGGTGAAGAAGGGGGGTAGGGTGGAGGGGAATGAAGGGGGGAATAGAACAACTGTAACAGCATAATCAATAAAAAAATTAAAAAAAAAGAAGTCCTAAGGGGGGAAAAATCAATAAAAAATGTTAAAAAAGAAACAAAACTATCACAGTCATCAAAGGCAAATAATGAGGTAATGATCCAGTTTAAAGGCACGTAAATGCAATGTATAATCCTTGATTGGATTCTAGGCCAGAAAAATGTGAAAAATATATTATTGGGCCAATCGATAAAATTTGAATAAGGTCTGTAGTAGGTTAGGGGTTATGTGTCGATATGAAATTTTCTTGAATGTTAAACTGGTACTGCAGCTGTGTAAGTAAATATCCTCTTAAAACACACACACACTGAAGTGTTTAGAAGGAAGGAATGTCTCAAACACACTCATCAATATTTTTAAAAATGTGTATGTACACTGAAGTATCAACATATGTACACATTCATGTACATAGGATGACACACATTAACATACTTATTCTGAGTAAAGAGTCTATGAGAGATTTTATATAACTTTTTATAACTTTTGAAAGTTTAAAATTATTTCAAAAGTTAGTTTAAATAAATATGATGGGGACTGGGTGAAAAGGTGAATTAAGAAGTACAAATTGGGCCCTGGCTGGTGTAGCTCAGTGGATTGAGCATGGGCCTGTGAAGCAAAGGGTTACCAGTTCAATTCCCGGTTGGGGCACATGCCTGGGTTGCAGGCCAGGTTCCCATTGAGGGACACATGAGAGGCAACCATACAATGATGTTTCTCTCCCACTCTTTCTCCTTCCCATCCCCACTCTCTAAAAATAAACAAAAAAATGTAAAAAAAAAACAAAGTACAAATTGGCAGTTACGAAATTCACAGGGATGTGAAGTACAACATAGGAAATACAGTCAATAATACTGCAGTAACTATGGTGCCAGGTGGGTACTACAGTTTTCGGGCACATCACTTCGTAATTTATATAAATGTCTAACCACTACACTGTACACCTGAAATATAATATTAAATGTCAACTGTAACTGCAAAGAAAAATTTTGTAAAATATCAGCTAGATTAAGAGTTGGCAAACTACAGTCTGTGGATCGAATGCAGCCTGCCACCTGGTTTAGTATGGCCCATAAACTAAAAAATGGTCTCTACATTTTTAAAGGGTTGGGGGGAAAATGAAAAGAATATTTCATGACAACTGACAAATAATAAATTCAAATTTCAGTGTCCACATTAAAGTTTCATTGGAACACAAAGAATGCAAAGTGCCATCGTTTTGAGGTAACTAGAATACCTACTTAGTTCATCTATACCTTTTTGTTTAAAGTGGGGTCACATATAAATCCCATGCTTTGTTTTCCATATTCTGGATATCTTTCAACATCCCTAACTATAAATTTACCTCTCTCATTTGGTGTTTGCATAGTATGTCACTGGATCTATGAGTTATAAAATATTTTTGGCAATCCAACTGATTTCTATGTTTGCTTTTATAACAACCGATGCAACGCATGTTCTGTCATATACATCTGCAGCAGATAAAATTTACTACTGAAGAGCAAAGATTCACTTTTGGGGTTATATTCCTTAATTTTAATCCAATATGCCATGTAAAATAAGGCAATCATATTATGAGTTCTTGTGTACAGGAAATTTTTAGCTACTTTATTTCATTCATTTCATTTTTCATAGCTTTTCAGCTTTAGTAAAAATAATGGTCACTGTAAATACATATAAAATAGAAGTTAATGGGAAAATAATCCAAAACCTTCCCTAATGCCACTGCCCCCAAACTAGGTATTATATGGCAAATATTCTTTTTACACATTCTTTTTGAATGTTTTCACTATGAAAGATCATTTATATCAACTGGATCTTACCAAGAGGGTTACATCATATTTCTCCCTTGAACATGAATCCTATTCCTGTTACTCTGGTTCTAGCCACCATTTCCCCATGAAATATGTTAGATTCTACCTGAAGAAACCCCTTTCCACTCTCAGTACTTCACAGTATTTATCACCGACATGGACTCTCCAAGAACTAGAAGCTGTATGACTTGACTGAACACATTTTTCATTCTTAAAGATTCTTACCAGTGTGGACTTTCTCATGGCACGTAAGGCGAGAACGGTGACTGAAGTCCTTACCACATTCATTACAGCTGTACGGTTTTTCTCCAGTGTGAACTCTTTGATGGGCCTGAAGACGTGAACTCTGACTGAAGCCCTTCCCACACTCCTCACATTTAAACAGTTTCTCTCTAATGTGAATGCTCAGATGGACTCTAAGATTTGAAGAAAGACTAAAGGCCTTACCACACTCCTCACACTTATGGGGTTTCTCTCCTGTATGAACCCTCTGATGATGGCGAAGATTCAAGCTCCTACCAAAACCTTTCCCACATTCCTCACATTTGTAAGGTTTTTCTCCAGTGTGGCCTCTCTGATGGTATATAAACTGTGAACTGTACCTAAAGCCCTTTCCACAGACATCACATTTGTATGGCTTCTCCCCAGTGTGGACTCTCTGATGGGACTGAAGACCAGAGGACTGACTAAAGCCCTTCCCACACACACCACATCTGTATGGTTTCTCTCCAGTGTGGACTCGCTGATGAACCCGGAAGTCCATGGCCTGACTGAAGCTCTTATCACACTCCTCACATTTATAGGGCTTCTCTCCTGAGTGGAGTCTCTGATGAGCATGAAGATTCGATCTCCAACTGAAGCCCTTGCCACACACCTCACATTTGTATGGTTTTTCTCCAGTGTGAATAACTTGGTGCAGTTTAAGATTGGAACTGTAACTGAAGTCCTTACCACACACATCACATTTGTAGGGTTTCTCTCCAGTGTGGACCCTCTGGTGGGTCTGAAGCTTTGAAGACTGACTGAAGCCCTTCCCACATACTGCACATGTGAACCGTTTCTCCCCAGTGTGGACATTCTGATGAACTTGAAGGTTTGAAGCCTGACTGAAGCCCTTCCCACACTCCTTACATTTGTAGGGTTTCTCTCCTGTGTGAACTCGGAAATGGATGTGAAGATCTGTATTACGAGTGAAGCCTTTCCCACACATCTCACATTTGTATGGTTTCTCTCCGGTGTGAACCCTCCGATGGCATATTAATGGTGAGTTGTGACTGAAGCCCTTACCACAGACATCACATTTATAAGGTTTCTCTCCAGTGTGGACCCTCTGATGGATGTGATAATGGGCAGCCTGAGTAAAGCCCTTCCCACACTCCTCACATTTATAGGGTTTCTCACCCCTGTGGACCCTCTGATGAACACGAAGATTAACACTCCAACCGAAGCCCTTACCACACTCTTCACATTTGTACGGCTTTTCTTCACTGTGCACTCTCTGATGGCATTGAAAGTTTGAACTCTGACTAAAACATTTACCACATTCCTCACATTTATAAGGTTTCTCTCCAGTGTGAGTTCTGTAATGAATGGCAAGACCTGTGCTGCTACTGAATCCCTTGCCACAGCTGTCGCACTGGTGGACCTTCTCTCCTGCCTGATTGGAATGAGAATGGAAAGAGCCCTCACGGAAGCAATCTTGGGAGTCATGACATTTAGCAGGTTCCTCTCCTGCGTGATTCCTCTGATGAGTCTGCAGAGAGTTCTGATGGGAGCACTTCCCTCCTGGGCAGACATTCTGGTGACTTGAAAGCACTGAGCTGTAACAGAAGCCCTTTCTATACTCACTACACAGACAGAGTTCCTCTCTGCAGAATAAATGCTGAGTGAAACTGTCATTCATGCTTTTCTCACAGTCATTAGGTTTGTGGGGTTTCTGTTCTACGTTAATTTTAATATGTTCACTAAGTGGTGATTTCTTCATGGAGGCTCCACAGACATACAGGTTATTTTCCCCATGAATTTTCTTATCTCTGCTCTGATTCTGTGACTCACTGAGGTATATATTCCCACAAGAATGCTTGAAATTGAAAAACTCTTGATTTTCAATGTAACAGGAGCTATCACCTTTACACTTTACTATATCATTCTCACTTTGAGAAACCCGATCAGAATTGCCTTGTAGTAACCAGGAACTTCCCTTCTGAAAACACCTGGTTAAATCACTTGTGACCTGTTTCCAGATTTGCCAGCAGGATAGCTCTTCCTGTGAAAGGTACTTTAATGCAACTCTTTGAAGAGGCTCCACCTCATTTTGATTCTTGCTGCCTATAAGAAAAAGCAGACAAGTGAGATGCTTTGTTATTCTGTGATGTGGACAAGTGAATGCTTTGTTCAGAAATGGCAGGATTTCACGCTTATGATAAGGCCTTAGTAAACCAAGGGAAGGGTCATATCTATACAACATCATGTATCCTGTTCTTGCATTTCCATGCAAGTAGAAGCAAAAAATAGAATGGTCAGGCCCTTACCCACTAAGAGTAAAGGCGACCCATTCAGAGCCATTAAATCTAACATTTAACACAAAAGCTGACATCTGCAATGAGGTGGCTACAGGGCAACAAGGACAATCGCCATTCCACCTTGTCCACACTACTCTTGTGACCGGTAAGGTTCTACCTCATTAGGTTACGAAAGCTCAGACTGTAAGCATAAAATGGGATTTTAGGTCCTGGTAGGAATGATCTCCCAGGAGTAAATTTGGAGGATGGTTGGGATAATATTGATTGTTCTTCACCTGGAAAAGTAAAGCAGGGTTCTGTAAAAAGAAGCGGAAAATGGAAAACCCATCTTTCACAACCGAGGAAAAACTTGGGAGAAGGAACAGGGCACAGTGCAGTCTCTCAGAGGCAACCCTGAAGAAGTAGGAAGGGAGAGGTCTATTCCGCTTGAACAGCTCTCTCCCTGAATGCCATGAACCTTGTTTTTCCTCATTCCTTTCAGGTATCTACTCACATGTCACTCAACTGGGTGAGGCTTCCTGACACAAAGGAATCACCCAACACAAAGGAATTCCTCCCCACCCCAGATACTTTTGATTGCTCCCATTTGCCTTTCCTGCTTTATTTTGCCCCACAGCACTTATTTATTACACCTGATTTATTATACACTTCCTCAATTTTTCTTGCCTTCTTAGACTCACTTAGAAGTAAAGCACCAGGAAAACACGCAGTTTCTTTTACTGCTCTATTCCCATTGCAACAGAATTTCTCAAATTGCTGGGACATATTAGTGAACTCTGAAACTGATCCCATTTGATTGCAGCAAATATTTTTTTAAAAGAAATAGAATAAAAACTTGAGAAGTATATCAGAAGCAGGAAGGGTACAACTACCTGAAATGCTTGTTTCAGTTGTAGACATACATGTAAATATGTACAAACATTATGCTGAGTCAAGATTAGAATATTCTTTAAAAAAAAAAAAGATTTTATTTGTTTTTAGACAGAGAGGGAGGGAGGGAGAAGAAGAGAAAAATTAATGTGTAGCTGCCTCTCACGCACCCCCCACTGGGGACCTGGCCCGCAACCCAGGCACGTACCCCAACTGGGAATCGAACTGGCAACCCCTTGGTTCTCAGGCCAGCACTCAATCCACTGAGCTACACCAGCCAGGGCAAGATATAGAATATTTCTTATTGAGGGCTTGACTGAAATTATATGGAAGCCACTGGTTTCAAGTGTTTTGGGGGGTGGGCAAGAGAGGTAGTAAGTCCTTAAAAATTAATTTACTTAAATGGAAAGTTAGTTTAATAACACAAGCTGAAAACCTCAACAGGTATATACACAGCTCTGGGTATGGTAGGCAGACTGAATGGCCCCAACTGGACCATATCCAAAGATGTCCACACCCTAATCCCTAGAACCTAGGAGAGTGTTACTATTCTTGGCAAAAAGCTCTGATTAAATTAAGGCTCTTGAGATAGGGAGGTTATCTTGAATTTTCTGGATAGGCCAAAAAGTAATCACAAATGTCTTGAGAAGAGGCAGGCAGGAGGATCTCTCTCAGACCACACCCTACGCATCTGTCCCTTTGTGAGTTCTGATGTGTCCTTTTTACTGTAACAAAATTTGTAAGTATAGCATTTTCCTGAGTTCTGTTGTTCTAGCAAATTGTTACAGAATTTGTAGCCAGTTGGTCACAAGTGAAGATGACCTTGGAAGCCCCCGCTGGTGTCTGAAGACTCCTGGAGGACTGTGCCCTTGGCCTGTGGTGTCAGGGCAAACTTCCATGTTTACGTTCAGAGCTCATTCCAAGTAAAAGGCTTCTCCCACTGACTGTGACATCAGCTACTTAATATCACTAGGCTCCTAGTTGCATTGGTAAATTTCTTTGAAATCTAATTTTCTTTCCTAATCAGGATTTCTCCACAAGTATGTCAATGCCTTTTGACTTTGGAAATAACCACTTTGAAATTATAAACAACCACATATAGGTTTTATGATTGTTCAAGTAGAAAAGAGAAGGCTGGGTGGCTGAATGGGCAGTTGGCTGGATGGAAGAGGCCGATTGCCCTCAAAAGTGGCCGAATGAAATTGTTATATAAGAATGGATGAACTGTAAGGCCTAGCCTGTCAGCACTGATAATTTTGAAAATTCAGTCATACACTCTGACTGTGAACAGCTTTTGTCTTCTAAGGTGACAATTTTCAACAAATCTCATGATACACATAATGACTTTAAAATTCTTCAGAACAGCAAAAAAAATGTTGCCTTTTTGCCAGTCTGACAAAAAACATAGGTGTAATTTTGATTCATTCATACCAGATGGCCACTGTTATATTGGATGTTATCATTTTTTTCTTTGACAACCTAAGGGAAAAGAGGTCAGTGCCCCTGAATAAATAGTAAGGTATTACGTTTTAAAAATTCTTGCAGCACACCAGTGTGCCAGGGCACACCAGTTGAAAATTGCTATTCTAAGGTTAACAACTATTAATCTTTATGTCTTTAAAGATGTCTAAGAAATTAGAATTATGTTAGATTCACTGGAAAGAAATGTTCCAAAATAACCCATTCATCATACTAGTGTGCTCTAAACCTGTGGAATATTTTGGGGTAGCACAATATTTGTACATGGAGCATGACTGAAAATTCCCAAAACATGCTGATGTTGAAGAGTTCAAAAAACCCTTTGAGAAAAAGTGACCAAAAATGCTACCAGATTCGTTAAAAGAGAGACTTGGTCTATTATGCAAAAGTGAAGAGAGACCATACTTAGGATCTTCATTCCTAAAGTTCCTAAAATGAGACCCGGTAAAGTGCAGCATCTGTCACTGCTGAGTGACAGAAACTCGAGGCGACGTGTAGACAGAAAAGGCGAAATAGACAAAAGAAGACCCGTGGTGGCTGTCAACTGCTCGCACCATTCAGGGCCTGGGTTATCATGTTTGCAGACAAGCCTCTCTATTTTGTTTTTCAGCCAAGGGATACATTCCCTAGGAATTTGTGATTTTTAGGTGGGCAAAACTGACAAATATGCAAATTAAAGAGAAAGGAACAAAGGGAAGAGAAAGGAAGTCAAAAATGAAGTGAAAAGTGAAGAAGTGGGAGGGCAGGTGGAAGAGTTAAAGGCTGGCTGGGGTCATGGGTGAGGCCTTCTTCACAGACAGGAAGTTGAAGCTATGAGGAGAGCGTCCTCACCTCTACTGAAAAGCACAGAAATTATTTAAAAAAATGTATTCATTCAACAATTGTGTACTGAACACCTACTATGCAGAAGGCCCACTGGAGGCTTTGAGTAGACATAATAAGTAAAACTCCACCAATTCCCACTTTCGTGAGATTGATGATGAACAAGTAAATGAAAAACATGCTCCTAGGTCAGCAGGGTATCAGTGCTTAGACAGAAAATAAGGCAGGGCAAGGAGGTGGAGAATGGAGAGACGGTATTTCAAACAGGGCAGACACAGACAGCCTATCTGATGAGATGAAATCTGGGCAAAGACCTGGGTAAAGAAGTGGCTGTAGGACTTTACAGTGAGGCAGAGGAAAGCTAGGCAAAGTCCTTGCCCTGGCTGGTGTGGCTCAGTGGATTGAGCACCAGCCTACAAACCAAAGCTGGTTTGATACCCAGTTGGGGGACAGGCCTGGGTTGTGGGCCAGGTCACCAGTGGGAAGCGTGCAAGGCAACCACACATTGATGGTTCTCTCCCTCTCTTTCTCCCTCCCTTCCCTTCTCTGTAAAAATAAATAAATTTTAAAATCTTAAAAGAAAAAGAAGATCCATGATTATAGGAAGGAAGGAAGGAAGGAAGGAAGGAAGGAAGGAAGGGAGGGAGGGAGGGAGGGGGGAGGGAGGGAGGGAGGGAGGGAGGGAGGAAGGAAGGCAAATTCCCTGAAAAAGAAAAGGACACTTGAAGTGGGCCAGGATGGCAGGAATGGTCTGAGTCAGCGGGAAAGGAGAGGCAATTAAATAGGAAGTCGGTGAGGAGGCCAGATCAGGTAGGGTCTGGCCATCCTGTAAGGACTCGAAGTGAAATGGGAAGTCTTTGCAGGGCTCTGAGCCAAGGAGTGGCACATTCTCACTCGCTTCCTATAGAATCAGTCTGCAGGGACTAGATTATGAGGGTGCAAGAGAGCAAAGCATGGAGGCTGGTGTGGAGGCTGTTGTCACAGCCCAGGCAGGAGGTGACAACCCCGGGGTCAGAGTGCTCATCATGGACGTGGTAAATAGCAGATTCTCTGGAACCAGAAAAAAACAGCCACATCGTTCTCACCAGAAGCCCCATTTCTTTGGGTTTCTCTTTCCATCATCCAGAAGTTTTCTTCTGCCTCCGACTGGGCTGCCATACCTGGTTTGAAGGAAAAGACGTCCTGTGAAAAAGCAGATATCTATCTATATTTATATATCTATACCTCTATATAGATAGATATAAATAGATATAGATACATAGATATATGAATGATGTGCACAAAGCTGAAACATATTTGTTCAAATTCCATAGTCCTCAGAACCAGCAAAGTGGTATTTTAAGAACTTTTAGATCACAGGTGGCAAACACAAGGCCCGCAGGCTGAACCCGGCCTTCCACCTTGTTTTATCTGGCCTGGTGCTTTGTTTCTACCTGGTGGCAGCAGCGCCAAGCTCCCTGCCCCACTTAAGAAGTAGTTACACTTATACTAAATGTAAAATTAGTCCTAAAATTACATTCGGCCCTTCAAAGGCAACCGCGAGGCTGATGTGGCCCCCGGTGAAAACGAGTTCGACACCCCTGCTTTAGATCACGAGCTGAAATAAGAAATAAATTTAGGTCATGACCTAGTTCACGTCTACATTTAGGTAAAATGAGGTTCTACCAACGCCTGTTTCCATCGCGTTTCCCACGCTCTCACACCACTCACTACAGATGGTCACAGTTTGGGCTGCAATGTGAACAGAAAGGTCTCAACAAGGAACGCTGACAGAATAAAATAGAATACAGATAGAATCTATGTTATGGAAAAAAGGTAATGCCGGTATGGGGGCGGTGGGCAAAAGCAGGCTTGCAGCTGTTCGTATGGAAAGAGACATGCAGGCTATGATTATTACAGTAGCTTTTTTCACTCAAAAGAAATGTCACTCACAACTTGTAAGCCTACCTTTGCCCACCCCTGTACAATGTCCTAGGTTGATTCCATGACCCTTCAATGGGGCACAAATATAATCTGAAAGACGATGTATAGAAGCTAAGCTGCCCATTTCTCATTCACTTAAAACAGGGTTCCTCAAGCGAGCACTGCTGACATTTTGGGCCATTGTGGGGCTTGTTCTGTGCACTGGAGGTTAAGCAGCATCGCCAGCCCTACCAGCTAGTAGCACCCCTCCCCCAGTTGTGAAAATCAAACTGTCTGCAGACATTGACAAATGTCTGGGGGGGTGGGAAGGGGGGAAGGGGAGAGGGCGTGGTGGCAAAGTCACCCCTGGACAGAATTTTCTCTGAAAGAAAGACTGGAAAACCTTTGCCTGTAGTCCCAAGGGTTACAAATACTGTCTTCGAGGTCAGGGGACTATTTCAAAAGGTATAACACTGCGAACAACTGAGGACACAGAGACCCTCAAAGGGGCCGAGGTTCAGTATCAGAGGGCGCCAGTCCTCACCCAGGGAGACCAGGTTCCGGAAGTTCTCCAGCATCACGTCTCGGTACAGCTTCCTCTGGGACGGGTCCAGCAGCCCCAGCTCCTCCTCCGTGAAGACCACAGCCACGTCCTTGAAGGTCACCGCCTCCTACAACACCAAACACAGGCAACCTCAATCTTGCAACAGAGGTCCACTGGAAGAAGGGTTACCATCGAGAAGTTAAAACAAGATTACTAAAAAAACTGTCACATTCTGGAAGGTGCGAGGTGATGTGTCACTGTAGTTTTAATTTTGCATTTCTCTGGTGATTACTGATGTTGCACATTTTTCCTTATGACTACTGGCCATCTGTGCATCCTCTTGGGAAAAGTGTCTATTCAGTCCGTTGGCCCATTTCTTAATTAAATTGTTTGTCTTCTGGTGTACAAGTTTCTTATTTTAAAAAAAGATTGTTTTATTTATTTATTTATTTATTTTAGAGAGAGGGGAAGAAAGGGAGAAAGAGAGGGGGAGAAACATCCATTGGTTGACTCTTGCAACCCCTACTGGGGACCTGGCCTGTAACCCAGGCATGTGCCCTCACTGGGAATCCAACCAGCAACCTTTTGGATCACAGGCCAGGGCTCAATCCACTGAGCCACACCAGCCAGGGCAAGTTGTATAAGTTCTTTACATGTTTTGGAGATTAACCCCTTACTAGATGTATCATTGGCAAATATGTTTTCCCATACAGTGGATTCCCCTTTGCTGTGCAGAAGCTTTTTTTTTTTTTTTAATTTTATTTTATTTATTTATTTTTCGAGAGAGGGGAAGGGAAGGAGAAGAGGGGAGGTTTTAGTTTGATGTAGTTCCATTTGTCACACTTGCCAGATTGGATACCACCAATAAATCAACAAACAACAAGTGCTGGTGAAGATGTGGAGAAAAGGGAACCCTCATGCACTGTTGGTGGGAATGCAGACTGGTGCAGCCACTGTGGAAAACAGTATGGTGTTTCCTCAAAAAATTAAAAAAGAAACTGCCTTTTTGACCCAGCAATCCCACTTCTGGGAATATATTCTAAGAATCCGGATAAATATGTACCCCTGTGTTCACAGCAGCATTATTTACAATAGCCAAGATCTGGAAATAGCCCAAGTGCCCATCAGTGGATGAGTGGATGAAAAAGCTGTGGTACATTTACTCAATGGAATACTACACAGCTATTAAAAAAAGAAAGAAAGAAAAAGAAACTCCTACCTTTTGCAGTGGCATGGATGGACCTGGAGAGTATTATGCTAGTGAAATAAGCCAGTCAGAGAAAGACAAATATTATATGATCTCACTTATATGTGGAATCTAATGAATAAAATACACTAATGAACAAAACAGAAACAGAGGCATGGACACATGGAACAGACTGACAGATCTCAGAGGGGAGGAGGTTGGTGGGAGGGATTGGGAAAAAGGGTGACAAGATCAGCCGAAGAACATAAATGCATAACTCACAGACACAGACAACAGTATGGTGAAGGCCGGGGTTGGGGGAAGGAGGGGCTGGGTGGAGGCGAGCAAAGTGGGAGGAAATGGGGGACAGGTGTACTAGCGTCAACAATTTTAAAAATGGTTAAGAAAGAAACCTGTTAGCACACACAGAGGGCTTCTGGTCCCAGTTGTCCCTCTCTCGTTACCTCCTCCCTGCTTCTCCACAAAGCTTGTGCTCAACCACTGTTTTTAACATTTGCAAAGTTCACAAGCCTTCAGAATCTCCCAGGACAGGTCTATAGGTTTTCCTCTGCGTTTTCCAGGCACACGCCATATGCACCTACTGCAGCATTCACAGCTGGTGAGGGCACAGGCTGAGTTCAAATGCCGAGGTTTTAATGTTGGGCAAATTCCCTGACCTCTAACAATCTCCGCTTCCTCTCCTCGACAATGGTGTCTAAACTGCAGGATATTCAAAAGGACTGAGTAAGTGAACATTTGTAAAGCAGTTAAAATGGTGCCTGGCACATAATGAATGCTCAATAAATTTGAACAGGTGTTATCATTATAACCTCTTTTATTACAGTTTATGACTTCATAGTATTCCTACAAACATGATTTAGCTTTAATTAATACAACCATATAATTAATTATGGATTTCTACTTGTAATAAATGCTGCAAAGAGCTTTTTTTTTTTTAAAGATTTTATTTACTTTTAGAGAGAAGGAAGGGAGGGAAAAAGAGAGGGAGAGAAACATCACTGTGTGGCTGCCTCTCACACGCCCCCTACTGGGGACCTGGCCTGCAACCCAGGCACATGCCCTGACTGGGAACCAAACCGGCGACCCCTTGGTTCGCAGCCCGCGCTCAATCCACTGAGCCACAACAGCCAGGGCCAAAGGGCTTCTTACAGAGATCTTTGCTAAGAAGTAGCCAAGTTTTAAGTTCACAGAATATGAACTTAAAAAATGTGAAAGCAGGTTGCGGATTTACCTCTCAAAAGGTTTGCCCAAGTCATCTCTCATGTGAAAGTACAAATATCCCTGACCCTCTAGGCTCTGGCCAAACAGGACACAATGCCTCTTAAAAAAATCTTCGACAACCTAAGTGAAATAAAGTTTTATTAACATTTGCACAGTTATTTTTTAAAGGATTTAATTTATTTTTAGAGAGAGGGGAAGGGAGGGAGACAGAGAAGGAGAGAAACAGTAATGTGTGGTTGCCTCTCACATGGCCCCCACTGAGGACCTGGCCCGCAACCCAGGCATGTGCCCTGACTGGGAATCAAACTGGCAATCCTTTGGTTCACAGCCCGTGCTCAATCCACTGAGCTATACCAGCCAGGGCTACTTGCACAGTTATTAATGATCATTATTTTCTTCATAAATTTACTTTTTCTGGGTAACACTTCTATTAATTTCTTTTACTCATATTCGATTGGGTTTTTCTTTATCTTACTAATCTTAATAAAAATTGTCCATATTAGCCCTGGCTGGTGTGGCTCAGTGAACTGAGTGCTGGCCTGCGAACCACAGGGTCACCAGTTTGATTCCCAGTCAGGGCACATGCCTGGGTTGCAGGCCAGGTCCCCAGGAGGGGGCGGGCAAGAGGCAACCACACATTGATTTTTCTCTTTTTCCCTCTTTTACCCACCCTCTAAAAATAAATAAATAAGATCTTTAAAAAATTGTCAATATTAAGCCCTTACTAATATATATAAATATATCCCTTCAATGCTGATACTGCAAATGTTGTGCATGCATGTAACAAAAGGATATGGGAAAGTGACAACAGATAGTTTGTAAATAGAGCAGTATAATGGAAATTATTTGTGTCTATTTCACATCTCTATTATTTTTCTCAAAGATTTTGTGAAATAATAAAGATCAAACAAAATATACACAGTCTGGCGCACCACATGCCCTCAAGATCTGCTGTTTTCCACCAACCTTTCCAAGAAAGAAAAAAAGATGTGCCTAATCTTTGAGAAATCAAATCACATCTTAGGAGACGAAGAAGAGTGATTTATTTACCTGAAGCTTGGTCATTTTCTCCTGCTGCTCCTTCTGGGGAAGGTCAGAGTCCTGAGAAGGCATAACTGGGAAAGGATAAGGAAGCCATGAGACACAGGCCAGAGCTGTCGTGAGCCCACGTGGACCTGTGCAGAAATCACACCAGGACACTCCTACTTCCGGGCAGATGCAGCCACATGCAGCTTGATAAGCAGAGCATGGCAGAGACTACAGTTACTAATGGGTTTGTCAGCCAGGGACGATCTGCACAACCAAAGGCAGTATTCCTACTATAAGGATTTCTGATCCCAGGGATAGTAAGAAATGAGAGGCACTGTAAACACACACACACACACACACACACATACGCACGCACGCATGAACACACACGCACGTGCACGCACGCGTAAGTGTTCTGGGATCGGGCGCCTAGGTTTAAATCCCAGAAGTGATACTTACCATCTGTTTAACAGCAGGGGCGTTAACAAATCAAAACAAAACAAAAGCGCCCTGGCTATTGAGCGTGGTCCTTTGAACCAAAGGATTGCGGTTTGATTCCCAGTCAGGGAACATGCCTGGGTTGCAGGCCAGTTCCCAGCAGGGGATACAGGAGAGGCAACTATACATTGATATTTCTCTTCTCCTTCCTTTCCCCTCGAAAGATAAATAAATAAAAAATATTAAAACAACAACAAACAAAAGCACAACCTCTCTACTCCTCACTCCAGTCATCTGTATAAGACTCATAAATCGCAAGGACTAAATAAATCAATGGAAAGTTCTAATAACCAAGAATCGGTTCCTGGTTGATGTGGCTCAGTGGGCTGAGTGCTGACTTCCAAACCAAAGGATTGCTGGTTTGATTCCCAGTCAGGGCACATGCCTGGATTGCAGGCTCAAGAGACAACCACACAGTAATGTTTCCCTCATTCTCTTTCTCCTTCCCTTCCCCTCTGTTTAAAAATAAATAAATATCCCTGGCTTATGTAGCTCAGTGGATTGAGTGCAGGCTGCGAACCAAAGGGTCACCAGTTTGATTCCCTTTCAGGGCTCATGCCTGGGTTGGGGGTCAGGTCCCCCCTGGGGGCCACGTGAGAACCACACATTGGTATTCCTCTCCCCCTCTCTTTCTCCCTCTCTTCCCCCCTCTCTAAAAATAAATAAAATATTTTTAAAAATTAAATAAATAAATAAAATCTTTAAAGAGATAACCAGGAATCCTTTTTTCTTGTAGCTACAAAACAAGCGGGTAATACTTTGCATCACAAGCTGTATAGATGCTCCTTGACTTAGGCTGCAGTTATTTTCCAATCAACCCACTGTATACTTGAAAATATCATAAGTCAAAATGCAGTTAATACATCTAACATACGGAACATCATAGCTTGGCCTAGCCGACCTTAAATGTTCCCAGAACACTTACATTAGCCTACAGCTGGGCAGTTATCTTGAAATTCATCTCAAGAGTAACTGTTGACTTCTCTTTCCTCTGACCAGAAGCAAGAGACACAGATGGGCATTTTGTAGACATGTCAGGATGTGCAAACATGAAACACAATATCCAAAAAATGCTGGCAATGCATCTTGACTGGGAGCTGTATCTTGTGCCTGCTGCCCAGCATCATAAGTGTTGTACCACATAATGCTAGCCTAGGAAAAGATACTGAATTCATATTGCTTTTGTATTATCGTAAAGTTGAAAAACCCTAAGCGGAACCATTAAAAGTTAGAGACTGACTGTTTTGCAAATGCCCTTTCCAACAAAAACAACTAAAAGACCCGGAAGGTCTGGACTTCATTTATTATTGTCACCTTTAGGAAAGTCACCTTTAACCTCTGAAAGCCCTAATTCTTTAGCTAAAATTTTTTCTTACCTAATCATTTGTTGCCCTAATCATATTTTACTGATGGCTGGTATTTCTTTTCTAAAAAGTATCATTTTTGGGTCAATTTACTTCATAAAGCAAGAAAAGGCTTATTGATCAAAAGCCTTTTATCCTATATGCCTGGAGGTGAAGAAAAACCTATAGCAAAGAGAAAGATACAAAAGATTCAAGAAACTTGGAAGACAGACTGAGAGGCCCTAACATTTGTCTACCAGGAGTGTGAGAGGACAATGGAACAAATGGCAGAGGGGCCTTATTTCAAGAGATAATTGCTGAGCTCATAAATAGAAACTCTAAATAGTATAAATAAAAGTAAATATACTCCTAAATAAATTAGAGTGGAACTCAGGAATGCAAAAGATTAAATAAACAAATAAACCTAAAAACAACAGAAATCCTTAAAGCTCCCACAAAGAAAACAGTTTACCTAATAGAAATGACAATTAGTCTGAAACAGGGAAACAGAAAGGAGATCTAAGACCACTAAATAATGTGTTCAAAGTGAAGAAAATAACTGTTGGCCTTAAATTCTATGCTCAACTAAATGATTATTTACATGAGGGACAGACAATGATATTTTAGCCAAATATATATGGAGAAAATTTATGACTAAATGAACTCTGAAAAAAAACAAAGAAAACATTTGTAAATGTGTTTGGTAGTATCTTTTTAGAAAATTTCCAAGAACCATTAGAAAAATTAAGGGGTGGTTATAATAAAAAAAAAAATATATATATATATAACCTTCATAATCTAGCCTAAAGTTTAAAAAAGTGATGGTGTGCTCTGGCTGGTATGGCTCAGTGGATTGAGCGCTGGCTTGTGAATAGAAAGGTTACTGGTTTATTTCCAGTCAGGGCCAGAGCCTGGGTTTCAGCCAGGGGGTGCAAGAGAGGCAACCCCACACTGATGTCTCTCTCTCCCTCTTTCTCCCTCCCTTCCTCTCTCTCTAAAAATAAATAAATAAATAAACAAAAAACAAAAAAGTGGTGGTGGGTAGCCATGATCAATTTTTTTACTTTTATTTCATTTATTTATTTTAATATTTTCTTTATTTATCTTTAGAGGGGAAGGGAAGGAGAGAAACATCAATGTGTGGTTGCCTCTCATGCGTCCCCTGCTGGGAACTGGCCTGCAGGGAACCGGCCTGCAACCCTGGCATGTGCCCTGACTGGGAATCGAACTGCAATACTTTGGTTCACAGGCCCACGCTCAATCCACTGAGCTACACCAGCCAGGGCCCATTATCAAATTTTAAGTATACATTCTTCTCTATATTTTACAGAATGAAAATACAGTCTACTTAAGTTCAGTGTTTGCTGAAAAGATGATCATTTTACAAAATTTAAGAAATAACGAAGCCCATGTAATTTCAAAACCAGTTGAGAGCAGATGAAGGAAATAAAGTGAAGACAAAAGGAAAAAATGTAAAGACAGTAAATTTAAAAATAAAGATATATTTAAAATAGGTGCACATGGTAGCAACACACATACATATTAAGAAGCAAATGGAGCATTCTCAGGTTTATTAAAACGAAAACCAAAACCAAAACCAAAACTTAAACATTTCCCTAGTTGTTGTAACTTACTGAGTGAAGGAACCCTGCTTAACTGAGAACAGAGATGCCAGACTAGGAAAGTACTTGAGTCTTTACCTGGAGCTATGCAGTGAGGGTCTACGATGTCCCTTCTTCCTTCCCTTGCGGAATTCTTGCCGTGGGACAGTGTGATTACGTCCGTCTCACGGGCAAACTGCAGAGGACATTCCCAGGCACCGGCGCGGGGTGACTGAGAGCTTCCTTAAAAAGAGATGAAAACTCAGTCAAGTTCGGGAAGAACAGGAGGACAGAGGGGCTACGGCCTCGCGCCAGCAGCCCAGAGCTCCTCTCTCCCTGCACTGGGGAGGGAATGAACTGTAGCTGTAACAAGTGCCACCACCGTTCTAAGCTTTGGACACGTATTGTCTCTTTTAATTCTGATCACACCCCTCAGCAGTAGTTACGGTCTCTCCTGCTATTTTTTTTTTTTTTTTAAGGAGGAGGAAATTAGAGCGCAGAGATAGGAAACAACTCGCCATACACTGTACTGATGGAAGGAGCAGCTCCTCCGCTTGGTGAGCGAGGAAGCAGGTCTTCCGCTCCCTCCTCTCAGCCTCCGCTGGCTACCAAGACTCCTCCATCGCAAAATAGCAAGCTAGGCAGCGCCTAGTCCCACGCTCAGGCCAGCAAGGCTCAGAGGGGTCTTTGGGGTGCAGGGCTGACTCACCTCCCGGCCAGAAAGCATGGTGATGGCCTCCCCTTTGCTGGACAAAAGTGCCCCGGCTTACACAGCACTGCAGAACTACACTTCCCAGAACCCCTTGTCTTTGGACAGAGTTGGGAAATACATTTCCCAGGACCCCAAGAGGAGGAAAAACCAATTCCAAGCTGTTAGAACTATTAAAAATAAAAAAAATAAAAAATAAAAAATAAATCACCAGACTCTCTGAGTTTCCAGCCTACAAGCCTACAACTTCCAGAAAAACCCTTTAATGGTTACCTGCCATTTTGCTGGCCTCAAAGCAGTTCTCTGATGCCAGGACTTTTTCTCACTGACAAACAAAATGCTAGCAGACCTGGCTCCGTTGTTTAGTTGATTACAGCTTTGTCTCAATATGCCAGGTTGTGGGTATTATCCCTGCTCAGGGCATATGCAAGAATCAACCAACAAGTGCATTAGTAAGTAGAACAACAGATAGTAGTTTCTCTCTGGCTCAACAAAAAGAAAAAGAAAAAAAAAACAAAAACAAAAAAACCCTGGCTGGTGTGGCTGGGTAGATTGAGCACCAGCCTGCTAACCAGTGGGTTCAATTCCCAGTCAGGGCACATGCCTGGGTTGCAGGCCAGGTCCCCCGTGGGGGCCACATGAGAAGCAACCACACATTGATATTTCTCTCCCTCTCTTCTTCCCTTCCCCTCTAAAGATAAATAAATAAAATCTTTTTAAAAAAATATACAGCATAGAAATGAAAAACACAGACTTGAGGCTCCAAACCCTTGGGTTTAAATGGCAGTTCTGCTTCTTCCTGGCTGTAAATCTTGAGCAAACAACATATACTCATCAAGAGTAAATGAAAACAAAATTTTTTTTCTTTGTCTAAAGAATGTTTCCCTTCTCCTTTTCTTCATAGAGCATTTCCAAAAGCAGTGCTTTTGGAGTCTCTCTCTAATCTTTTGATACATATGTAAATCTTGTTAGAGGCTAAGTAAATCTCTTCCCCAGCTTAAAACCCAGAAGTGTTTTCAAAAGCCCCTTTGTTAACATCTGAGAAAAATAACAATCACTGTCCCTGTCGCTGTGGGAGTCTAGCCAAGGTGCCTTTCTCTGAGCTAGCAGAGAGATACATTTTATTAATCCTTTGAATAAAGTCAGCACGGTAAGACCTGATTCCCAAGTAAATTTAAGATGAATTTGTCAAAGGCTTTGCAGCAAATGGTGCAGTCCTCTTATAGGAAGACAAGATTTTGTTAATCTTAAAAATCTATGTACTTTTTGGTTAAAAGTAGGATGGTATAAAAGGTTTGTAACTACTTGCCTATATCAATGGGGAGAAATCTCTTTCTTTGTAATCCTTATCTGAAAAATTACCTACAATACTGTGATCTGGGTATGCTTATTCAGTAATAAGACAGCTTGGTTTTCTACATTGTGTAGAGAGAAGTTTGTTTGGGTAGGATGTTTTATTTCTTCAATACCGCCTCTGTTTCTGCATCTGTTAAAAACCAACACTAATAAAGCCCTGGCCAAGCAGCTCAGTTGGTTAGAGCATGGTGTCCATGTGCCAAAGTTGTAGGTTCTGTCCCCCCTCAGAGCACATACAAGAATCAACAACCACCCTGGCCAGGTACCTTCAGTTGCTTGGAGGATTCACCCTATGCCAAAAGGTACACCAAAAGGTTGAGGGTTTGATTCCAGGCCCAGCGCATATGGAAGGCAACTTATCAATGTTTCTCTCTCTCTTGCTCTTCCTCTATCTAAACATATTGTGTGAATATTAAAAAAAAACAAAATCAACCAACGAATGAATAAATAAATGGAACAATGAATCGATGTTTCTCTCTTAAAATCAATCAATAAAAATAAAAATAATCCCTAACAGCAGCACCTAAATCATAAGGCTGTTTCAAACATTTAATGAATTGACTTGTAGAAAATTATAAGGGAATACACTGATGACACTACTTTGGAGAAGAGGAAAAAATGAGGCCAAGGGAGATTGTCTCGCATAATGTTACTCTAGGAAGCGGCAGAGGGGGCTGGTAGGTAAGAGAAGCCCGTAGGGGGGCGCCAGGAGACCTTCAAATCAGGCAACACCAATTCAGGCTCCCCCCCCCCCCCCCAAACCTAGGGAGCATCAGCCCTTCCAAACTAGCTGCTGCACAGCGGCCCGTGGCTCCTCTCAATCTCTCAGGATGAGGACCAGGGTCCCGCTGGCTCACCGTTTAAGCTTGGGCAATCCCAGTCTTGGAGGAGCCTCTGGGATCCAAGATTCATTTATTACTACAGGAAAAGGTTAGGAGCAACCTAGCGATTCCATACCTCCTTCCGACTAGAGGGAGCCCTGAACCACTGACCAGAATTCCCCAGCGCTGCCGGACAGAGGCGGAAGTGCTGGTGGCTACACAGTCCCAGACTACACTTCCCACAACCTCCAACAGAAACGTGGCTAAAACTCCTGTCCCTGGAGCGGAAATACCTCCCAGCACTTTGAGTTTCTGAGCAGTAAACCCTAGAATGACAGTGTAGATTTCCACCAATTTGTGACATTTTAGGGTGGTAGTGTCTGCTTGGTTAGCATCTACCGATTGTTATTTTGAGCTGAGTAACCACGTTCAGGGGCCTCTGAAGGGCGTCTGGGTCGGAAGGAATCCTGGTAAAACCCCAAATAGCTGCCCCTAGAAGTAAGAGTAAAAGAAAAATGGATTGTCTATAAAGCCAAACTCTAAATCCCTTGGTATCCTAGTCCTGGCGGGGTGGCTCAATTGGTTGGATTCTCATCTCACACACCAAAAAGTAAGTGGGTTCAGTTCCTGGTCAGGGCACATACCTGGGTTGCAAATGATTGATCTTTCTCTTTCTTCTTTCTCTTTCTCTCTCACTCCTCTTTTGTCTCCCTTTAAAATGAATAAAAACATCATTGAGCTATGGCTGGCGTGACTCAGTGGATTGGGCACCATCCTGCGAACCAAAGAGTCACTGATTTGATTCCTGGTCAGGGCATATTGCCCGGGTTACGGGCTGTCCCCAGTTGGGTGCATGTGAACAGCAACCACACATTGATGTTTCTCTCTTTTTCTCCCTCCCTTCCCCTGTCTAAAAATGAATAAATGTTTGGAAAAAAAAAATCCTTGGGTGAGGGTTAAAAAAAAATCTCTCAGTACTTGAAAATTGATTAGAGTGAATCATTTTTGTTAGTTATCTTCAAGCACCTAGCAGGAACAAATGAAAATCCTCTCTAGAGAAAGGATCTTCCTGGGCTTCAAATTATTTCTATAATTAAAAATATATTAATATTAGATGAAGTAGTCTCTGAAAAAAAGCATTATAAGATATAAAGACATTCATCATGATTACTTTAAACTCATCAAGTATAATGTCCAAAATATAAAGCAAACTTTTAAAAGCAAAATCGACAGAACTAGGAGAAAAATATTCACAGAAAGCAAAATTTTAATACTTAGAAGGAACTGTAGAACCTTAAATGCATATCCTAAAACGGAATTTGAGCCACTTGCTCATGGTACTTACTTGCAATTTATGTTTGAGCTGAATCTCATATGTCTCACACTCAATGAAGCACTGTGGGTGTGCCCACACTTACCACTCAATTGCATGGTAATTTTCTGGGCCTTGGCTGAGCCTGATAAAGGCAGAAGCTGCTTTCTCAGGACTAATGCCACCTGCAGAGAATGACAAGCATTGCTCCAAAATTCTAAATAGCAGTGTTGTAAGCTTCCCTGTTACACACAATTCATACATGATTAGATATGTATCAGAGGTCATAAAATTATTTCTGTAAAGAGCCAGATATTAAGTAACAGACCACATAATCTATTACAACTACTCAACTCTGTCATTTTGCTTTACAACAGTGGTCATGGCTATGTTTCAATAAAATTTTATTTGTAAGTGGCGACCAGATTTGACCCATGGACAGTAGTTTGCCAATCCCTGGACTAAATTGTGAAAGAAGATTGGAAGGTTGATGTTGCCTTGAACTGGGGCCATGAAAGTGTGTTGATGGTCCTAACAGATGAAACTAAACTTCTTTGGATGATATTTACTAGTAACTATAAAGAAAAAAAGCACATGTTGGCTCAATAGCTGCTTATCAGGTGTCACCAGATGTGTCGATTTGCTCCAGCAATAAAACCACATTGGAAGCTGCAACTGGAATCAATTCCTAATTAAGCTTACAATAGTCCCACGTCATTATCCAAGATTCACCCATGTTCTGCACAGGTCAAATGAGTGCATTGAATATGTGATGGAAATCATGACCCCTGCAACTTTCAAGATACCGATAGTGGCATTAATCTCGGTAACCCCTCCAGGAATATGGTATTGCTTTTGATTTTCTATTTTGGTACATATGAGACAGGTCTGGTGTTTACTAGTCCTTTCTTACCAAATAGCCCTTGTTCCACTGGTCAGAGAAACAATGGGAGGATTCTTCCAGTTGTTATTTCTATTGCAACTCAGCATTCTGGAACTTGGGAAATAACCCTATGATGGTTTCAGGGATACGTTCAGACCACTGCATATGGACCTGAGCAAAAACACGACTTGTCTTTCATAAGCTTTTCTACTAACTGGTGGACCACAGCACCATTTTGGGGCTGTCGAGAAAACGTCAGCTCTAGCATCCAGTAAGACCTCAATATTCTGGTTGTTCCCACTTACCCATCGCATACCCTCCATAAAACAAGGCTGTAAGTCACTCTGGGGATATCTAGGATGATTTATAGCATGTAATTTGGGCAGTATAACAGGGTCGTTCCTCAAGGGGACCCAACCTGCTCCTTATTCAGCGTGCTCTGGGAATGGAAACTGACTCGTTTTATGGAGATGATTGAGGAGCCACAACTCTCATGTTGATTCAAGTCCAACTTAGGTTCACCAGGCCTATTAGTAGGCTAGCCCCAGGGACTACACAATAAGCAAATGCAAAAATTTCTGGGAATCAAACCATTCTGATGATTCCTTTTCATTATGACAAATATAATTTATCTCTGCCAGTGAAAGTCCTTCACTTGACCTATGATGCTCCAAGATCCCATTGCTCTCACTGAATTCAGGGAGCCCCATTTGATGTCGTAATTTCCTTCTCTCATTCCTGGCTTTTTGAGATGAGTCACTACAGGGCTCTCCAAGATTGCCAATGCTCCCCTGCACCTTTGTATATTTTCTTGTACAACAGTGTTTCTCAAATGGGGACAACTGTGCCCCTACCCCAGGGACATCTGGCAGTGTCTTGAGAAATTTTTTATTTTTACAACTTGAGGGAAACAGGATGTGCTGCTAGCATCTAGTGGGTAGAGGTTAGAGATGCAGCCAAACACCCTACAATGCCCAGGACAGCCCCCAACAATGAAAAATTACCCAACAAAATGTCAATAGTGCAAAAGTTGAGAAATTGTTCTACAACACCGAAAGTCTGGCAGTTTGACTTGAGCATAAGCTGGCTTTGGGTACAGGTTTCAGTCATTAACTAAGCAATCAATCAAAGGCATTCCTAGGAACTCAAGCTAAATCCTAAGTCTGGAAATGGTGTTCAGTGCACCTGTATCAACACACCCAGCCTAATCCAACATTACATCACTGTCACCTGATTCAATATGCCTACGACCCACAACCGTATTTCTCAGGTTTCTATTGACATCATTTTTAGATCATTACTTTGGCAGGTACAGTATCTCATCATGGTCACACTTCATACTTTTTGACCTCCCCACCTAGACCCCCTCCTATCCGCAAGGACTTGAATCTGAATAGGTCTAGAAACTATAGTGGGGGCAGCAGCAGGGGGATGGTGAAGGGAAATCTTGAGAACCTGCAGTCCTCTGCAAGGAAACTTTCAGGAGAGATCATTACAAGGTCTTCAGGCAAGGGGAGACTAACTCAGATGGGGAAGGCTTCCTACTTTCAATGGCAAAGGGGGCCTTTGCTAAACTGAGGCCAAAGGCCTCAGCTTTGTTGGAATCTGGCCATATATTCCCATCTCAATTTTTCTGGGGTCTATTCCTGCCCATCGATACCCTATGATGTAGGAGAATCTGCAGGGTTGTGAAGTCAGCCACTGAATGAATTTGCCTTTGTGTCGTTTAAAAAAATTCTGATTATATAGAACAAGTCTCCCTAAGTATTAGTATGTAGCCAGGCTCAAAGCTAAGATAGGAAAATTCTCAAGGCCAAAAATAGAGAACTTGAGCCCATATTGTCAAGTGGCAGATGAAATTAAATTACCTACAAAGGCCAAAAAAACTGGATACTCAGCTGGGGTTTAATCTTGGTGTGATGGTAAAGGTCAGAGCAGCCACACACTGGGAGACAGTGAATACCCAACATTACAATAGAAAGAGCAGCTCTCTTTCATTGGCTGTAAAATGTTTGTTCCTAGTAACTGTAACACACTTAAGTCCCTGCTTTGACATTCTTGAAAATTGGGTGATCTTATTGAAAGATTAACAAATTCCATTTTTCAGGCAATATGTACTGTCATGAGGACTGAATTTATACTATGTAAAATCAATAGAACACCAGACAAAGTCCAAGATAACAGGACCAAACTTGAAGAGAGGCTGGGGGGAAGGGGAGCACAGGAGCTAATCACAACAGGACAACGTCAATTTAATATCACAGTTACATATTGAAGTACTGGTTTTCTAATATTTGAACTTTGTCTCCCTTAATTTTATTAAGGCTACAATTAGATTTCCTGTTCAAAATACAAAATTTTATGGAATTTTGGAAGTGATCTAATAGCTTCCAAATATAAACTTTTCCCATTTAGTTTTTTAAACATTTTACTTATTTTTAAAGAGAGGGAGGGAAAAGGGAAAAAACATTGATTGGTTGCCTCTTGCATGCCCCCAGCCAGGGAACAGGCTTGCAACCTAGGCATGTGCTGACTGGGAATCAAACATGCAACCTGTTCACAGGCAGGCGTCCAATCACTCAGCCACACCAGCCAAGGCCCCATTTATTAATAAATATTCAGCATCCATGAAGTACCTGCAATAAGACTACATGGATTCAGAAAAAAACATCTCTGCATTTATAGAGCTTACATTCTTAGTGGGTGTTAATTTTGGGTTGTCTGTCATACTTTTGTACAAGGTCTGATAAAAATCTCACCCATCGTAAGGCCTCTCTCCTGAGTAACATTTAATAAAAGTCAAAGTTCTAATTGAAGCCCTTACTAAACCACTTATACAAGTTCTGCCTCCTGACTACTGGGATATGTTAGGCTATGGTTCAAACACTGCCTTAATGAACAACAACAAGTTTCTTTTAAATTTGATGATTGGAAGAATTCACATGACACTCGTGTTTTTTTTTTAATCATTTTATAAAACATTTTACCTGTGTGGACACTCTCATATTCTTACCAGTTCTGTCACTTTTAGAGGATTTATCACCAGCATGGATTCTATGATGAATTGTAAGATTTGATCGCCAACTGAAGTTCTTACCACATATCTCACACTTGTAAGGTTTCTCCCCTGTGTGAACTCTCTGATGAGATTGTAGCTGTGAAGAGCGACTGAAGACTTTGCCACATGCATCACATTTGTATGGTTTCTCTCCAGTGTGGACACTCTGATGAAGCTGAAGACTTGAGGCCTGACTGAAGTGCTTACCACACTCCCCACACTTATATGGCTTCTCTCCAGTGTGGACCCTCTGATGCATATCAAGATTCAAGCTCCACTTGAAGCCCTTCCCACACTCCTCACATCTGTATGGCTTCTCCCCAGTGTGGACTTTTTGATGGGCTTGAAGGTGTGAACTGCGACCAAAGTTCTTCCCACACTTGTCACATTTGAATGGCTTTTCTCCACTGTGGACTCTCTGATGGGCCAAAAGATTTGAGGCTTGCCTGAAGACCTTCCCACACTCCTCACAATTATAGGGTTTTTCTCCTGTGTGGATTCTACAATGAATCTTAAGGTCTGCTCTACGACTGAACCCCTTCCCACACTCTTCACATTTGTATGGTTTCTCCCCAGTATGGATCAGCTGATGAATCTGAAGCCGTGAACTCTGATTGAAGCCCTGTCCGCACTCTTCACACTTGTATGGTTTTTCTATGCTGTGAGCCTTTTGATGAATTTGAAGATATGAACTCTGACTGAAGCCCTTCCCACATACCTCACATTTATAGGGTTTTTCTCCTGTGTGGACCACAAGATGAACTTGGTAATGGGAGTTCCTCCTGAAGCTCTTCCCACACTCATCGCATTTGTATGGTTTCTCTCCAGTGTGGACTCTCTGATGTGCTTGGAGATTTGAACTCAAAGTAAAGCCTTTACCACATACTTTACACAGGTAAGATTTCTCTCCAGTGTGGACTCCCTGATGGGCCTGGAGACTTGAGGGCCGACTAAAGCCTTTACCACATTCCTCACATTTGTAGGGTTTTTCTCCTGTGTGGACCCTCTGATGAATGTATAGATTTGAGCTACAAATGAAGCCCTTCCCACACTCCTCACATTTGTAAGGTTTCTCTCCTGTGTGGACTCTCCGATGGGACTGAAGATGTGAATTCCTGCTGAAGCTCTTCCCACATGCATCACATTTGAATGGTTTCTCCCCAGTGTGGACTCTCTGATGGTCTTGAAAATGAGAGGCCTGAGTGAAGGCCCTTCCACACTCCTCACAATTATATGGTTTTTCTCCCAAGTGTAATTTACAATGAACAGTAAGCGTAGATCTACGACTGAAGCCTTTCCCACATTCCACACATTTGAATGGTTTCTCTACAGCGTGGATTTTCTCATGATTTTGCACACATGAGCTCTTATTTAATTCCTTAACACAATCATCACACTTATAGCTGTTTTCTCCCATGTGAACTCTCTGATGAATAGGAAGAACTGATCTATGACAGAAGCCTTTTCCACATGCAGTACATATATGCGACTTCTCTTTTGAGTGTACTTGCTGATGAATATTGAAGGTGGAGAGATCATAGAAAGTTTTTTTACACTCATTACACTGGTAAGGTTTTTGTCCTGTATGAATCACACTATTCTGATCCAATGTTGAGATTTTCATGTTGTCTCTTCCATAATCGTTGTAACTGTAAGGTTGTTCACTTCTGTGTACTCCATAATTATCAAGACGATGTGATACCCAACTGATGGTGTCAACATCCTGTTTATACTGAAAGAATTTATTTTTTATGGAAATTTCCTGATAGCTGTTCCGATAATTCTGGGATTCATTCAAAGAGGTTTTCCTCCAAGAACCTTGTGCTCTCAAAGTTGGAAACTCTGGATTTCCAGTGTCACTGGGACCATCCATTTTATGATTTAGTATATAGTTTTCATCTTCAGAAATCTGGATAGATAGTCCTGCCCCAACCTCGCAGGTGGAATCGCCTTGTTTGTGGAACTGTGAACAATTTATCATGAAGTCTTGACACCTGGTTAAGTCATTTACAATTTGTTGCCAGATCTGCCAGCAGGAAAGCTCTTCATGTGCTCCTCTGTCTTCAACAGTCTTCAACTTACTTTGACTGCTCTCACCTATGTGGACAAAGAATTCAGAGATATGGACAAATGCAAGTTTTGTTCAAAGATTTAAGATTTCACGCTTATGATACACAGTTCATGAGTTTAATGAGCCTTGGGATACTTCAGCTTATCTTTTTTTTACTACACATGAAGTTCTTTGCTTTATACACTGACAGAAACCAGGGGGTGGTCCATTAAGCTCCCAACCACTTACCATTAATGAAAGCCATTCAAGACAAAATGACTGCCATTTGACATACTATTTAAATCATTGTTCACAAATTACATGTATGTCCTATCATAATACAGTATCAATAAGGAAAAGCATTTTGGAATGCTCACAACTGTAATAGTGCCTATCATTAGCAGGTGCTCAAAAATGCATACATACTGAATCCCATTTTGATTTCTGGGATTCTCTGTAACTCTAAATCCCAGCTTAACTTTGAAGCAAGTCATAGGAGCGAAAGTGCTTTTACAAGGAAAGTATCTGAAATAGCAAAAGGGTTGGAAAGTATAGTTTGCTGAGAAGTTGAAAGACTGCAAAACAGGCAGTGGAACTCCAAGGGGCGCTCCGAGAGGATAAAATCAAGGTGCTAAGAATCACCTGACATGAAAGAAAAGCTGGATGCTCTGGATTCTTCTGACACTTTCATACTGTTGAACATGTTTTTATTTTCCTACATAGGAATCAAAATTTAGAGGCTAGGGAAGAATGCTGTCTCTTTGAAAACAGCATGACAAATTTTATATGGAGATACAATGGCCTTGAACAAGAATGATTTCCAAAGTGAGGATGCACTGTATTAGTGGAATGTGAAATAATTCAATACTTTGTGATAAGTATTTAGAAGAAGCAGACTAGAAATTATCAGACAATATCACAAGCAGTAAAAGTTTCAGTACATGAAACTTGTTCTAAAATTACATATATAAATGTATACAAAAATAAAATGCTTATAGAGGTATGATGTAAAATCCATTTCTTACTACTGATGTGGACTTTGGAAGAAGCAAATGGGATGAGCTGTGCAATCTTTTAAGGGACAGGCTAACTCACAAGCTATTTTCCGAGAGCAGGCAACCAGTACAAAGGCAGTTGATATAATCCAGGAAAAAGATTTGTTGATTTTGACTGGGTAAGGTCAAAGGGTGGTGAGAAATGAAATAGACAGACAATTAACTACAAGAACTCACAATTGCTTGGTTCTCACCTAAATTTTTTTTCATCTGGGGTGATGTCTCTATCCTCCAAAGCTTCTCTTCTCTTTCTACATGTGATGTATCTTGTCTGAAGAGTAGATGTCCTAAGAACATGCAAAGTCACAAGTTTCAAATGAATACACTGGAGCTAAAAGTCACTGGAAATTTGAGTTCTAAATGCACAGTCAAGGTACTGAAAGCAGTGTTTTTCAAAAAGTTTATCATTTCCCATTGGAGAAATAGCATTTATTTCATGACCCAGATACATATGCATAGATATGTATCACTAAAACAGAAGTCAAACAGCCCATCTGTAACCAATGTCTACTTTCATTATACCTCCTCCCTGTGGGCCTCAGACTACTCATGCATTTGGCCACTTTTAGCTGCAATGTTCTGTTTTTCTTACGGAGCTCTGATGTTTTCTACTCTATTTTATTTTATCAAAAATTACAGATAGGACTAGGTAAATTGGTTTTATAATTTAGTAATGGGACAAGAGTGAAATTTAAAAAAGAATATACAAGAGGTACAGCAGCATACTGACTATTTATGATTTTTTTACAAAACATGAATGAAAAAAGACCTGAAACACCCTGTTTAGAAAGACCAGAGACTTGGCTAGGTGGCTCAGTTGGTTGGAGCACTGTCCACACACCAAAAGGCTGCGGGTTCAATCCCTGGTCAGGGCATACTTTTAGGTTGCTGGTTCAGTCTCCAGTTGGGACACATATGGAAGGCAACAGATCAATGCTTCTCACTCACATCAATGTTTCTCTCTCTCTCTCCCTTCCTCTCTAAAAAAAAAATCAATAAATTTTTTTTTTTTTTGACAGAAGAAAAGACCAGAAACATCCTCTTGGGTCCCATATGAACTGGCAAAAGTCCAGTCCCCAAAATTCCAAGGAGCCATTCCAAGAGCCCCAAAGCCTTAACTCCACAAAGATACTTCAAAGGAAGGTTGTCCTCACCCACTGAGACCAGGTTCCTGAGGTTCTCTACCATCACATCTTGGTACAACTTCCTCTGAGCAGTGTCCAGCAGCCCCAGTTCCTCCTCTGTGAAGGCCACAGCCACATCCTTGAATGTCACTGCCTCCTACAATAAGCACATAACACCGCAAACTTACACCCAACATCCACTCAAAGGGGCAGCACTGAGGTGAGGGGGATGGGTGGGAAGTTGCTCTGACCCCTGAGCAGTTTGTAGATCTCCCAGCCCTTCTTCCATCCTGACAATGTCATACACTGATTTTCCACAGCCTCGCCAAAAATGCTATGAAAAAAAGTTTTATATGTGTACTGGTGCTCTCACATTGAGCACTGTTATGCATAAACTCCCTAAAATTCTAACTGCTGTATATGGACTAAAGATGTTCTACATTTTAGTTAATACTGTCAACTGCCCCAGAAACATTTACTGTCCTAGCCCCAACAGTAAGTGTTTCATAGTACGTGCCTTCCCACCGAGCTGGGAATCAGGCTCTATGTGAACAAAATCAAAAGGGCCTGCTGGATCTCTGGAATTTCCTGGCTCTGCATTTCACTTGAGTCAAATATTCTGACTTGCTTTTCTGTGTGAACTTGAGCAGGTTCCTTATTTTTCATACTCCATGTTCTTTACGTTAAAAATCAAGATGAAACCAACAACTTCTTCATAAAATTGTTCTGAAGTGTCAAGGCAGTGACAAGGACTCTAGTACTACTAGACTTTTTAAACTACAGTCATGTATTACTTTAATTTTTAAAAATATACACAAAGAAAAAAATAAACCAGTAAATGAAATACATACAGGGTATGACTCAGGCATGGGGGGGGACACAAAATCTAGCCCTTGTAGTGAGAAAGCTTTGTTTTTCTTTTTTTTTAAATATGTTTTTTTAAAAAATATTTTATTTATTTATTTCTAGAGAGAGGGGATGGGGAGGAGAAAGAGTGGGAGAGAAACATCAATGTGTGGTTGCCTCTCACGTGTCCCCCACTGGGAACCTGGCCTGCAACCCAGGCATGTGCCCTGACTGGGAATTGAACTGGCGACCCTTTGCTTCACAGGCCCCTGCTCAATCCACTGAGCTACACCAGCCAGGGCTAAATATGTTTTAATTTATTGATTTAGAGAGAGAGCAACACTGACTTGCTGTTCCACTTATCTATGCACTCATTGCTTGGTTCTTGTATGTGCCCTGACCAGAGATCAAAACTGAAACCTTTGCATGTGCGGACGATGCTCTAACTGAGCTACCCAGCCAGGGCAGAAAACTTTTTTCAGTATATTTTCTGTGTGAAACAGTACTTTAATCCTGATGCACTGTGCCGTATTTGAATATTGTACCAAAAAACCCTAGCTACCACCTATAAAGTATACTTTCTCTGTTTTGCATACCTAATATGCTAAGGACAAAAAAAAAGACAGTATTTTTTTAGAACTGATTTTTCGAGAAAAATGTTCAATGCTGGAAAGTCTACTATAGTGTTCCCCAAATAGTAAAAATACTAAACTAATGTCTATGAATAGAGAATAGTTAAAAAAAATTGGTACATAAATTTGATGAGAACATGACATAATGAAAGTGAATGTTACACAGTATTAAATGCAAAAACAAATGTAAAGTTGTATCTATGTTCTGAATACAAATACACAGTATGAATGCATACGACAGAGAGATTACAGAAACAGGAGAACGGCTACTTCGTAAGCAGGGAAGCAGTAAGGTAGATGTTTTTCATTTCTATTAATTGCTCTCTTATTTGTGAAATAAAAAATGATGAAATAAAACACAAACTAAAACTAAAAGCAATTAAACTTAGAAGAGACAACAAGCACCTGAGACACTCAACAGCTCCTCCAATGCCCAGACATTCCTTGAAAGAGAAAAAGTTGTGTCTCCGACTACTGAAATGGCATTTTTAAAAGAAAAAAAGGAAAGCTCTACTCACCTTGTACATGCTCATTCTTTCCTTTTCCTACCAGGGAAACACCGTGTTCTAAGAAGACAGACTGGGAAAAGAGAAAGAAGTCAATGGAAACTGGTCAGTATGCCACTAACCCATGTGGCAGCTTGTTGTGAATTTGCAAAGGTGCTCGTTCCTCTCAGGTGGCAGCAGCTGCATGCAGCTTCATGAACAGGACTTGGCATGGATGCCAGAGAATCCCCCTGCCACTTTCAGTAGCTCAGGAAACAACCAGCCCAACCTCAGACAGTAGCCCAATCACCAGTGTGCCTGTAGCTTCTTCAGCAGTAATTCTTATGCTGGACATGCTGTAAATTGCGACAAAATAAGAGTAGGCGCTGGAGTTAATATGCATGGGTTGAAATCCTGGCTAGGCTATTTACTAACAGTATCATCTTGGAAAAATTATTAACATCTCTTTACCTTAATGCTATTATCTTCAAGTGGGGGGACATAACTGTATTGACCTCATGGGATTGTTATAAGGTAGAAAGTTCTTAGAATTCTGTCAGGATGTCCTACTTCTCTGCAACCACAGTAAAGCAGATGATATTCTCTAGTTTGATATTATCCTTATAAACGTACTTTCTACCCATAGAATAATGTAAGAAATATGGCGTTCAGCAGTTGTTGCTTTAGAGACTCTTATAACTTCTGAAAAGTCTGTTTTCCTTTTTTGCAATAACATGTTACCTCAACAATAATATTTAAATTGACAGACAACTTTATATAGGAAGTATGAAAACGTGTAAAGTTTCTTTTAAAGTAAGAAGGGCCCTTTCGATCAATATGCATGGAAGAAAATTAATTAAAATCCATGACTCTGTAACAATAAGAAAAATAGTTGGATAGTCCACACCTAACTTAAATTAATGAGGAAGGAATCTATATATATATATTGTTATAAATATGAGAATATATAAGAAGTCAACAGGTGAGAAGGGAAAACTCTTAGAACTAATAAAGGCAGAAAGAAAGTTAGAAAATCACCTGTGGACGCTAAAATTGGTGAACGTTTGGTGAGGAATAAGATACCTACAGTCTCAAAGTATTAGTTGCAAAAGGAAAAGCAGTAACCTGGCAGACACCTTAACCAAGAAAACTAAGCTGAGACCACCAACTGTGACAGACCTACATTTCCTTTGTATGACTCACTGAGAAGGATGCCTCCCTGCTTCTACAGCATCCCCGCTGAGCCCGAGTCCAATCATTAACAAATACCAGACAAAGCACAAAAGAGGGGCCTTCTACAAACTAATTTACCAATACTGTTCAAATATCAAGAGGAAAAAAGAAAAAGCCTGAAGAGTCATTCTAGATAAGAGACTAATGTAAGAAAAACTAAGTGTGATGTATGCAGCTGGACTGGCAACTTGCAACTTGAACTAGGGGAAAAAAAATGTTCTCAACAACTCTATTGGGAAAACAAAAAATTTAAAATGAGACTGTGAACTAGATAACAGTATGTTATCAATGTAATTCCATTTTGATCACTGTCTCTAGCTTGTTCTCAAATGGTTCCGAAAGACAAAAATTGTATGAGTATGATAAAGCTGTGAAAGAGAAAAGGAGAACAGTTCTGATAAGCTGAAGCCACAACAGCTAGAACTTGGTGTTTTCCTGTGATGAACAAAAAACAGACAGGCCCACTCAGTGACTGCGGTGAGCAAGAAAAAGACAAGACACTCCACAGCACAGGGACAAAGATATTCCACAGCAGCTAGCCAAAGGACTGCCCCTCCCAGCTAATACGAGTGAGTACTTTGTTAACAGTCGACAACTCCAGTCTCATTTTGTTTCTTCCATTGCCAAGTGGAAATTCTTGTTCGGAGATTTTATTTATTGATTATTTTTAGAGAGAGGGAAATGGAGGGAGAGAAACATTGATCTGAGAGAGAAACATGGGTGGGTTGCCTCTTGTCCACGCCCTGACCAGGGATGGAACCGCAACCTAGGTATGGACCCAGATGGGAATCAGAACCAGCGGCATTTTGCTTTGCCAAATGATGCCCAACCAACTGAGTCACACTGGTCAGGGTTAGGTAAAAATTCTTACAATATTCAGTCATGAAATTGCTTCTGCTTCTTAATGGCACCTAATCCAGAACAAACCCTCACTGCCTAGAACTCTTCCCAATTCAGCTAACACAGGCCAAAACCCTATAAGCAGGCCCTCCTAACTGCCTCTTACCAACAGCCTCTGATGCTGCATGGTGTGTGGGCTCCCTTGCCGCAGCAAGCTAAAACAAACTTAATTCTTGATGATTACAGGTATGTTCCTGACAGTATTTGGCTGATGATCATCGACAGAGGAAACAGGCAAACCATACACAACTGATGAATCTGGGTAAAGAATGTGAGAATTTCCTCTACTATCTTTGCAGCTTTTCTGTGAATACAAAGTTATATGGAAATAAAAAGGTAGAGAAATTAGAAACTAGTCATAGTAATAATAACAACAGTAGTTCTGATGATGGTGATGATGATGACGACTACAGCCAAAGTACCTAGTATTAACTATCAGAAAGTACTAGGTGATCTTCCTACTTCAGACAGAAGTCCTCTGCTTAAAAAGTGGGCAGTGAATCCACTGCACAAAGCCTTGGAGAAATGTTATCTTCACAACCTCTAACTCTGTCCATTGTCTCTCTTCTTCACAACTGCCTTCTGCTAATGTCAGGATTTTACAAGAAAACCTGACAGTTGTCAATAATTAGTGGTGGTAGTGGAAAATCATCGGACTGAGTAGGGCTCTGGTGTACCCTACTCAGTTTTATCTGTGACAGCTGGCAGGGTCAATGTTTTAGGATTCTATTTCCAGACAAGAACCTCTCCTGAATTCTCCAAATTTTCTTGGGCACAGAAATCACTTCAGGATCTTGCTGAAATGCAGATTCCTGGGTCTCATCTGCAGAAATTGTAAATTGAAAGATCTCGGGTAGGGTTCAAGGATGGGCATTTCTACTCAAGTGATGTCAGTGCAAATTGTGGTTTGTGGCCCACAATTTGAGAAGCACTGCAGTGCACCAGCAGTCCCCCCCAAAAAACGCCTCCACTAACCAGGAATCTACACAATGAATAACCAGAGTTACTAAAATGTTAACAATGGTTATCTTTACATCCTAAGGTTATAGGCAATTTAAATTTTTATTTATATATTTCTGTATTTCTGAATTTTCCATAATGATTATGTTACTTCTATAATACAGGGTGGGGCAAAAGTAGATTTACAGATGTGAGTACATGAGACAGTTTATTCTTGTATTATTATGCATTAATTATTGTATTATTTTCCCATGTGAACTGCAAACCTACTTTTGCCCCACTCTGTATAAACATTACTTAAAATAAAATAGTGAAACAATTAAGACTCTTAAAACTTTTTAAAAACTCTTCTATCAAATAGCCTAAACCTTGTTCTCAAGGTCCCCACAATCAAGTCCCCACCTACTTTCCTGATAGGATTCTGGAGAGTTCTCTATGCTCAAGGAGAATATACCTGAGACATTAAAGAACTCAGATACTGGACTCGGACTGCCTAAGTTCCAACTCCAGCTCTGCCTCCTACTAGCAGGGTGGCTGGGCCAACAGGTCTCCTGCCTCTCAGTCTCATCTTTAATGTACAGAAATTAGCAGCATCACTTCATAGATCCACTGTATGACAGAAATGTGTTCATCTGTATAAAGCTTTAAGATGAAACGTAGCAACCATGATTTGGTTACAATCATTTTCCGTATCTGTCCAAGTGCACGTCCCACTCATGCTCCAGTTTATGTGACTACTAGAAGAATCCAAAGCCTACTCACGTATTGAGCTCTGTTGCCTCCTCCACCGTGCAGTGCTTTTTGAGAAGTCAGGGCTGGGGAAGCAAAGGAAGCTGTGAAATACCAGGATTGTGCTTGCGACTCTGATAAATCGCATCCCCTGGTACCAGCTAGAGGCAACCCTCTCCTAAAAATAAGCCAAAAGTCCAGAACATTTCAGCTTCCTGAGCTCACAGAATCTAACTGTGAGACGGACCCTTTTCGGAGAGTTACAGTGATATTAATAATAACCCATGTGCCAGGCAGCTTTAATGAAACCTTTTACTTGTACTATTCTCAAAACATTCTTTTAGGAAGGTATTACTTTCATTTCCCTTTTACAGAACAGTAAGCGAAGGCACAGAGGGGTTAAGGAACTCATCCAATGCGATACCGCGTTAAGTGTTAAGTGGGGCAGTGGGTTAGGGGTTGCAGAGAGCCTGGGAAACCCTCAAACCCCAAAGCACGACTGAGCCCACCCCATCCCGGGTACTTCCCAAACACAAGAAAAGCTCCGCCCTGGGAAATGCAAATGGCCACTTCAGCCTCAGACTCAGACCTCAGTTTTTAGCAGCTCCACCTCTTTCTCACCAAACGAAGGGCAGGTGACTGTTGGCCCCAGACGTATTCCCGGGAAGTTTGAGTGTATAGTGGACCTGAATAAACGCAACCTAGGAAAAGATGGCCGCTACGTGGGCCCGCTGGGGCGGAAGTGCCTGTGTCCAACGCGAGCCCCCGACCTACATTTCCCAGAATTCCACAGCACCGCCCTCCTTGACTTGAAGTGCCAGCGCCTACACGGAGCCAATGGGCTTAAACTGCCCAGAATTCCGCTCGCAGGGGGCGGGGCGGGGGCGGAGGAGCCTTTTACTGCACGGCCTTACCTTAGGTATAGTATGTAAGACTACACGGAGCCCTGGACTACGCGTCCCAGAATCCTGAGCGGAAAAAAAAAATGACAACAGTACTGCCCTCGAGGACCACAGTTTGCGAGTGGAAAACGGACAGAGAGCTGCCCCCTGATGCGGAAGTGCCGAACTACTCTGAGCGCCCCGTCTTCATTCACTTCCCGGAACCCCTGAGAAGATCTCGGGCAAATGCTTGCTATTCTCGTATGACGGAGTTAGAAAAGTGCAGATTCTGTTCGTTGAGATGCTGAGTAGCACTTTGCACGCTTTTGAGGGAGTAAGCAACTTAAACAATCACCTGCCGCAGAGGTTTCCTGGCAAACCCCAAAGAGCTTCACCTTATGAATAAGGGCGAAACGGGAAATGGACATTCTTTGGCAGGGACTGAAATGAAACGTCAAGTCGCCTCAATCACTGAAATTGCATAAAGGTGAATGTGTTTTGTTGGAATATTACGTCCCTTGCAGAAGCAAATGAAAAACTTTTGTAGAGAGAAATGTACCATCATCCTACACCTAAGATTATTTCTGTAATTATAAAGTTTTTGATATTAATATTTGGCCAATTGAACTTTAAGAGCAAAAGCATTACCTGACATATGGAACTTTAAGAGCAAAAGCATTACCTGACATATGGAACTTTAAGAGCAAAAGCATTACCTGACATATGGAGAGACACTTTATAATGACAAGAGTTTTGAGTTACCAGAATCTAACAACTTTAGTTATATTTTATACTGTGAAAATTAAAAGAACCACTGAGGAGAAAGATTCAGTGGGTGAAGGTGAACAAAAGGTTAAAAAATAGCATTGTAGGTTGTAGCACACACAATACAACTGTAGCATGACAGTTTCAACCATTATCTTGGTGGATTTAACAAGTCAACCATGCAATGAATGAATGCTAGTCTGGCAATGCAATAAAAGTGATTATATATGGGAAAGAGACAAGACTCCAAAACTAGGACTCCTGGATGGGAGGAAAAGAGATAAAGGCTCAGGGACCCATCATTTCTATTTGTGAATAAGTTAAACTAGTATTTAAAAAAAGATCAGAGAAGCAGGTGTGATGCCATTGCTGGAAGGAACGAACCAAGGAATGGAGACAGCTTCTAGAAGTTGGCAAAAGCAAGAAGTGAAGTTTCCCCTAGAGTCACCAAAAGGAAGGCAGCCCTGCTGACACCTTCATTGTAGCCAGAGCAGTAAACTGAGACTCTGAAAAGAATAAAATGCCCAAGGAGCCATCAAGAGCAAATGGCAAAGAGAAGTGTCCAACGCGATCCCCCGACCTACATTTCCCAGAATTCCACAGCACTGCCCTCCTTGGGCAGTCAAGTTGGAATGTCATGGAAGATGAATGGAACCATACTCCAGTACAAGCCTAGACACTTGGGAAAATATAAGCATATAACCCAGGTGAAAGAGAACAGTATTTCTTTTTGTGCATGGAAACCAATTCACAGAAACAAAAAATAGGAGAAAGAGCCAGTTTGAGGGAGACAGAATGAAAGAAGATGTGATCGTGCCCTCTCCCCAATATACAAACATTTGCAAAAAAGAAAAAAGGAACCCGTGTATCATATTTCATAGGTAGCAACACTGAAATAGGAAGGACAGGTAAAAGGGATTTCGTATCTACAGAAGTCGACATGGCTTTGTTATACAGAACATTAAAAACATAGAATCTTGAAAAATCACACAGCATCTCAGGTGGTATGAGCATGTGTCTTGTAAAAGGGGTGGGGAACTGTATGCATGAAAACGTAATTGCTAAACCCCTGATTACTCAGCTCTTCTTCACTTTGAGTCTACACTTGAAGGAATGCCACTAGACCCCATCAGCTTTGTGATGGTGGAAGGGAGGAAGTGATAGGGAGCCATGCAAGAAAGTGTGCTTGGCGCTTTAAAGAGAAACAGACTGGGCGACTTCTCCGATGCATTCTGTGTGCAGCTCAGAGGACTTCGCCCAGGCACACACACCCCAGTAAAGCTCTATATATTGCCTAAAAAAAAAAAGAGAGAGAGAAACAGACTTACAAAATGGGGTGGGGATGATAACCTGGTGTCTTTGCCTGTGGTGCTGGAGGGGGATGAAGAGAAGCCATTTCATCTCCAAGTTACTGCACAGGAGACAGAAAACAAAGCAGCTGCTGAGATGAGGCTTCTGAGCACCCAAGTAAGCAGAGGAGGACTTCTGCAGTTGGGTTACTGGCGATTCGGGAAGCCAATTCATTTTATTTTACTCATTTATTTTCATAGAGAGGGGAAGGAGAAAGAGAAAAATATCAAATCAGCTGCCTCTCACACATCCCCAGCTGGGTGCCTGCCTCACACCCCAGGCATGTGCCCTGAAAGGGAATCAACCAGCAAGCTTTAGGTTCACAGGCTGGTGTTCAGTCCACTGAGCCACACCAGCCAGGGTGGAGACAATTCATTTTAACTGCACATACTCCTTACTGGGTCAGTGTCCATATGGTCATCAGAGTATAGACCATACATTTATAATCACCACTATCAATACTAGCCACCTCTGTCATTTTGGAGGGACACAAATGATAGCACAATTGACTAAAGTATTCAAAGAACCTATCAGTATGGTCAAGTGCTTCCTGCTCTAGTCATGTTTCAAGCAGGGCTCATCGAGGGACCACAGCCTCCCAGATAGTGATCCTGCCTGTTTGTTTCTATTTTTTTAAAGATTTTATTTATTTATCTTGAGAGGGGAAGGGAAGGAGAGAGGGCGAGAAACACCAATGTATGGTTGCCTCTCGTGTCTTCTGGAAACTGGCAACCCAGGCATGTGCCCTGACTGGGAATCAAACCGTGATACTCTGGTTTGCAGGCCTGCGCTCAGTCTACTGAGCTACACCAGCCAGGGCTGTTTCCATTTCTTACAGCATCACAAACAATATTTCCTAAGAAATAATCTCTCCAGAAGTATCTGGTGAATGAATGAATAAAAAACATCTGCCTGACACTTGCGGGGTCATGGGTAATATCTGTTCATACCAAAGGATGCTGAAATTTATTTCATTATAGTGTTTCTCAACCTTGAAAAGATAATCCAGTACCCAAGTTTCTCCCATGTATTATTGCAGAAAATCCAAACCCACAGTAAGTCCTACACACACACACACACACACACACACACACACACACACACACACACACACACACACTGCCAGTAAACAAAAAGCCTCTTCTCAACGATGGCATGGCACAGCCTTTGGCAACAGCCTGTAAGGGAGTGAATGGAGAGGCAGTAAAGGGCTCAGGGAGAGCCTGCCTGGGCTCTCAAGTCAAGTATCATAGGTTCAGGTTCTCTGCCAAGGATGGCTGTGTGACCTTGCATGAGCTTCTTAACAACTCTTAGTCTCAGTTTCTTCATTTGTAAGGCAAGGCTATTATGACTAACTCTACAAGTTGTTAAAAAGATTAGGGACAATGTCAAGTACTGAGCACAGTGCTTTGCATGTGAGAGATATTGACAAATGGCAGCTATCATTTTTATAAGCAAACTATTAGTCTTTGCCGAAACAAAAGCTTACATGTTAAAAAATCAAACTCATAATTGGAACTGTAGATTTTAACTTACGCATAGAGGAAAATGTTGGGCTTTAAATGCATAAATGTTAAAATAGAAGTAAAGCTGAGAACTGATTCAGAAAATATTCATCTCAAGAAGTTACCAAATAGCCTGGCTGGTGTGGCTCAGTGGATTGAGCACAGGCCTGTGAAGCAAAAGGTCGCAGGTTCAATTCCCAGCCAGGGCATATGCCTGGGTTGTGGGCTGGGTCCCCGGTGGGGGACATCCAGGAGGCAACCACACAGTGATGTTTCTCACCCTCTCTCCTTCCCTTTACCTCTCTTTAAAAAATAAAATAAAATATTTTTTAAAAGAAGTTACCAAATAAATGGCAAAACAAAAGTAGATAGAAGTTCATGGAACTCCATTTTCTGCACACAATTTTACCTATCTACTCTTCCCATTGCTTCTGCCAATAACAATGAAATGAACATCATTACATGTCTGCTTGTAGACCTATGTGAGAATTCAGAATTCTTTGGAATATAGACCCAAGAATGAAATTATTTAATAGCATATGTGTATACACAAATTTAATATTAGTCTGATTGACCTTCAGAAAGGCTACTGCAGTTGACATTAGCAAGAGTTGTATATGAAGCCCTGGCTGGTGTGGCTCAGTGGATTGAATGCCAGCCTGCAAACCAAAGGGTCACCAGTTAGATTCACAACCAGGTCACATGGTTGGGTTGCAGGCCAGGTCCACAGTAGGGGGCACACAAGAGGCAACCACAAATTAATGTTTCTCTCCCTTCCTTCCCTTTTGTCTAAAAATAAAGCAATAAAATGTTTTAAAAAGAGTTGTTTATGAGATTTTTTGTGTAACAACTTCCTCACCTCCATTTGGATGACCCAGTAGTATAGAAGTACTACTGATTTTTAACTTGGAAGAATTTTAACTGATCTAATACAACTACATTTTAACACAGGGGGGTATCATGTATCATTTCCCATATCATTTCTCCACTTTGAAAAGATTCACAATTGCACAATGATCACCACTATCTAATCCTAGAACATTTTCATCTCCTCCAAAGAACCATCCCACCCTACACATTAGCAGTCACTCCTCATTCCCAACTCTACACCCCACCTCTAGTTCCTGGGAAGCACTGATTTACTTTTTCTCTCTATGGATTTGTCTATTCTGTACATTTCATATAAATGCAATCATCCCACACATCATCTCTTATGTCTG